CGGGGCGCCGAAGCCCCGCACAAAGACTTGCTTCAAAGACTTTCGACGGCCGGCGTCGCGGCCACCGTAGGCAAATTATCGCGTCCCGCCCCCGTCGCCAGAAGGGGCGCGTCGTTCGCCGAGCAGCACGCCGATAGACGTCGTGGTGGACACGCGGCCAGCTGGACCGCCAGGCACGGCCAGGCGTGCACGACGGGGAAGTGGTGGACCCTGGGTCCTGGGTGGACTCTGGATGGCGCTGAGCGCGCTGCGCCGCGCCGCGAGCGGGGTAAAGGGTTAACGAACGCGGCCGCGGGCGCGCGCTGCTTCGCCGGAAATAAGTGGAGGGGGAGGGTGGGGAGGGGGAGCGGTAGGGAGGGGGACGGGACGGGCCAGTGAAAGGGGGAGTGCGATTAGCACTGATATGACGATATCCTGACGAGTAGCCCGCTGCGCTGCGCTGCGGTGTGGGGGTCCGCACGGCGCTCGTTGGCGACAGGTTGCCGACCTGCGCAAGCCCAAACATTCCGCGGCCGGCGTGAGCGAGGGACGACGCCGAACAACACCGCGACGACGACGACGACAACGGGCCGGAAGTGAGGTGGAAGTCAAAGGAGAGAAAACCAGACCGCCGCCGCCACCCGAAACCCAAAAATGTTTTCGTCCTCCAGTCTGACGATTACGGGCCACAAAGAAGCCGCTCGGAAAGGGATTTACAGAGTCGAGGCGCCAAGGGTCGCCGGCACGGCGTCGTCGATGGAGCGCGGCGAGCCCGGCCGATTGCGACATAGACGCAACACACGGGAAAACTGCTTTCCGGCGAGCCGAGAAAAGGCGCGGAGGCGCAGACTGGGCGCTAGGCAGGGCGTGGTAACTTAACCGAAATCATGAAATAACGTTAAAGTTATTGTTAAGGGGTACAATTTTATTCCATAACGCACGGGAAGGAATTAACGTTATTGCTTTGGCTACAATCCAGCCCGTTACAAAATTACCGGTTAACAGTAATAACTTAAAATGACGCAACGACATTGTTATTGGGTATGCCTGTAACGTTATTATGATAACCGAATATTGGCCGGTATCATTTAATGTTACAGAAGAATAACGATAAACATATCCCCTGAATATTTTCGTTATGTTAATAACGTTCTTTTATCCGAAAATTTTTGTTCTGTTGTATTGAAACAAACCGTTTTCGTCTGTGGAAATACCGGCTCCCGCCGGCACCGACGCGGTGCACTCCCCCATTCTCACTTTTAATTTCAATTGGGCGATTGGAATCCCATTTCGAATTTTGTTTGTTCTTTTCGAACCTGCCCAATGACACTCAAAGATATGTGTGGCAAATCCAAGACTGAATGTCTAAGCAATCCAACCGCGTCCGCGTGCGTTCTGCAGCCTGCCAGCTGCCCTGCGGATCAGAAGCGGGCGATGAAGCCACTGTCCGACCGTGAGCCGGCACCTCCTCAGCCTTCCGAAACCCTCACAGCCGAAGATCATGTGTAACTGTGAACGGTTGGTGGGTCGCGCATCCCTGCGTGTAGGAGAGACCGTCCCTGCACTCATTGAAAATGTAAGAAACCTCTAAACGCGAGGGAGGCGCTGTGAGGCGACGCGCGCGCCACCTAGCGGTACACTGTTATTTACCGAATAAGACGTCATTTCGCTGAATGTGAATTGTGTCACGTCCAAACGATTGATTAAGTATACTTAACGGCCGTGCAACGTTCCAACAAATGTGACATCGTATTCAAACGAGCGTGACAAAATACACATTCTAACGAACATGACGTCACATTCGTTGAATAGTACGCGTCGGGCGCGGGCACTACATACGACTGCTTGTCCAAGCAATAGCCCCAGCCGTCGCAAAATTTTTCCAAACTTCTCTAAAGGTACGTTGTTGCCATGTCAACGTCAACGCTGTCGATCGAGACAGAAATATTTCTTTCCAGCATCATTTGAGACAGAAAATTGAACCTGGCGGGCAAGAAATGTGAGGTAGAACCGAGCCCAAGTGGCAAGCTTGCAGAAGAACAGAGCAGGTTTCTCATTTTTTTAAATATAATTTGATGCGTTTCAACGCGATTGATCGCCACCAATCACATTGAAAGTCACGCACCCGATACCCGATGGCCGATGTCCCAATACGGCCTTCCGTAGTGGTCAACAGCATGCCGCCGCTAGATGGCGCGCACGTCTTTTCACGGCGCTTCCCTCGCGATTGGAGGTTTCATGCGTTTTTGGTTAGAGGAGGAAGCGTTCTCTCTTTCAACGCGCGACCTGGACGGGCCGTTTCTTGAACGTTGTTGTCACTTCTGCTGATAGGTGAAAGACTTGGAGCCTGTCCTGTCCGCCTAGTCGCCTAGGTCTGCTGCACAGACCGTATCACACACAACCTTCCACGGACGGATTTCACTGACAGGAAAATTCAGAAAACAAACTCTCAAAAATCGCCAAGTTACTGGGTAGAGGAATTAGCCACTCTGAATCAGGCCGTCGTCATGGCCTTGTCAATAACGTTATTAAATTTGCGTTCCCTGGTTCTAGTTATAACAGTATCAGAATATGATACATAATTTTCGTTATTGTTATAACTTTAACATTAAAGAAACGCCTCAAAAATTAACGTTAATTGAAAAACAACTTAAACATGTTACAAGTATAACGGATACTTTCATCTCGAATTTATTTTTTGTTACTCTTTTATCGTTATTTCAATCACTTTTAAGTGCCTTGGTATCTGCTTAACGTTAATGCAAATGATGCCCGATTTATGAAGAAAATATATACCCAACCGAAAAAAAATACCAAAAATTCTGGGTATTCTCGAATTTACGTTATGTTATTGTTATGTTAAGTTACCACGCCCTGGCGCTAGGCTGGCTGGCTGGCTGGCTGGCTCAATGGAGGGAGATCAATGCCACTTACTAGATTCGTGATCACCTCTCCCCACCAGCGAGACAGGACCCCCCTCCCCCCCCCTCCCCTCTCGGCGCCACTTTCCCAGTTCCCCGCGCCGCGCTCGCCTCCTTTGCCTAAGAATGTCGCCCTGGCTAGGACACGCTCATTCCCATTCAGAAGGAGAAAAAAAAAGTTAAAAACCGGGCGACATCCATTGGCCGCCTCAGGCGCATCGCCTCAGAAGGCCACAAATCGAGGAAAACATCCACCTGGAGGATCTTGCAACTTTAGATCCCTTCCTCCAAGACGAATGCAAGCAACAGATTGTAAATTCCAAACTACAAACCAATACTCACAATATCATTCAAATATTTGATTCGTAGTTTGGCATACAAGTGAGTGCTCACAGGCCAAGTGCAGCACAAATTGATCATTTCATTCGCCTCACTGGCATTTTGAGGTGAATTTGTTCCAGTAACACCACAAATATAATTGTTACTAGAAAAATTGAGGGTTGCGTGTGCTTATGTACACAATAAAAAAAATTAATCCCAATTTTCCACACAAACACACGCAACAGGATAAAGAACTCTATGGACTGAGGAAATTAGTCACAATTTTCACTCAGCAGAAGAGTCAAGCATCAGCCAAAGGCAGTTCTCAACTGATGAATACCACCCCTGGAACAATGCATTAGAAAAGCAAATAGTGGACGAATTGGAAATGATCTGGATCAGGTTTTCAGGTTTTCATTTCACAATCTGTCTCACACAGTATTCTTTGCTCCTATGCAGATAACTCCACCACATTATTTTTTTCTGGATTCACACTGTGCACATGCCACAAAATGATGCAACGTTCACAGGAACAGGTAGAGATCTGAAACCCATAGCGGGATTTAAATTATTTCTCTACGAAGCCAGCATATATTGGAGTGGAGAAAAACTTGAGCACTTGCAAATAACGTACTGTCCAACTCTGGTGAATTTGAACAGTAATTTTGAAAACTTCAAAAGCATAGGCATTTTTAGCAGTACAATAAATCATACTGTGACAGTACTGTACTAGCTTAAATGCCACAATAAAGTGTCACACATATGTCAAAATGAATTTCAGCTGGAGAAAATTTAATATTGGCCTCATACAAATTTAGCATTCTCTACACTAAAAAAATCAGAGAATAAAGACACCTTCAAAAAGGACAACAAAGACCAAAAAAAAAATTTACATGTTAAACCCTGAAAAAAACACAAGAAGGCAAACAGAACTGACAAAAAATTACCCGATACACACTTAACCTTGTAAACCTTGTAAACAAATGACTTAAAAATAGGAAACAAGTAAGACTGGAACTTACAAACGTCATGCCAAGTTAGTCATTTGAAACTAATAAGCAATCCCAGTGCCAAAGCCAAAAACAACTCCTCTTGACATGCCAATTAATTAATTATTAGCGGCCTACTTGTTGCCCATGTCAAAGCCCCCCCAGCCCCGGGCCAGGCCGTGCCGAGGCAACCCGCAATGAGTCAAAATTTAAACCTCCCAAGCACAGTGACACCCTGTCCACGCAGTGGCATTTCGTCGGAGCCAAACGATGTCGCGCAAGGTTCGCTGTCAATGGCAAACAGACGATCAAAACAACGGCGCAAACAGCGCGGACGCCAATTTCCAGGTTATGTTGACGGGCGCACGTCGCCGAGACGGGCGACCCCGGTCTGGCGTCCGAGGCCTCGCGAAAATGCCAGCAGAGCCCCAGGACGATCGCCGCAAAGGCCTGCGACAGTCTGCGGCGAATGGACATTTCGTGGGACAAGCGTTGCGGTCTGGACACGGGTGCCTCAACGTGACAAGCAGCCCGCACCATTTGTTTGGGTCTCGGTCTCGGCTGCCTCGGGTTTAGGCCATGTGAGATTTCAGTTTGGCACGGCGGGGCCCGGGCTGGCAGGTCGCGAAAAGTTGGCGACAAAGGGGCCCGTGCAAGGGCGGGGCCCGAAGGGTGGCTCGCGGCGCGGCGACGCCGCTTTAACATAAAACACGAGCCGTGAGAACTTGGGAGTTCCAGGAGGCCACTAGTGACGTACGGGTACCCGGGCAACGGGTACTTCTTTACTTACCCAGACCCTCCCCGGCGCATATTCCTATCGAAAACAGCAAGACGAGTGACGACAGTGGGGTCGCCATATATTCGGCCTCATCGGAGCGACTTTGACGGGAAGATCACGACTCAAAACGGCCGTAAAACACTTGCGGATCTGGGGACGTGCGAAACCAGATCGGCCCTTCGGACACTAAACTTCCACTGCGCTCCCCGCCGTTCCCCCGCCTCCCCCCTCGCTCTTCCGAGAAAACAAACAGCGCCGGCAGTTGTTTTCTCCAAGACGATTGGTGCGCGGTCGGGCCGAGGCAGCGGCGCGCGATTCGAACTGGTCCGTGCGCGCGGCGCGCCGGCAGCGGTCTGGCACTGGCTCTGGCTCTACACTGACAGCGCTGCGCGGCGCTGCGAACCACCACCACCCCGTGCCGGTGAGGCCGGTCGGCCGGTACCGGGTACCCCGCAGCACGCAGCACGCGGCACGGGGACGCTGGTCGGCGCCGCGGCGCGAGTGTCGTGCCGCGTGCCGGCCGGTCGCGGGCTGGCGGGCTGGCGGGCTGCAGCACAGGGGCGGGCAGAGGGGCGTCGCGATGTCGCTCGCGTGGCGCGTGGCGCGGGGCGTGGGTGCCGGCTCACGACTGGGACTGGATCGCGATCGGTGGGGCGCCGCGCTTCGGCCGCCGCCTTCGCCGCCTTCGCCGCCCGTCCCGTCCCTCCGTCCTCCGTCCGCGTAGAGCGGTGGGTTTGGCGGGGTGGCGCTGTTTGGCGCGGTGGTCGGCGCCGGCGGGGGCTGCGATGGGGCGTTGGGGTGCGCCCCGCGCGGGGAGTCCTGTGGGGAGTCCGGCCGGGGGTAGGTTTGTCTAGGTTTGTCGGCACAGAGCCTGCCAACGGTAACAGGGCGCGGGAACAGAGAGCGCCGCGGCGGAGGCGTCGTCTTCGCCTTTCACAACCCCCGCGTCCAACTCCAGTCGCAATGCCACGTCGTCCTGGGCGTCCTGGACCACTCTGCCACCCGTGGGGTGGCAACGTGGGAACCTCGCGGCGGCATACGGTCTCGTCGCCTTACCCTCCGCGAAGTGCGCCGAGCTAGTCGCCCAACAAGCTTTCCTGCCGCCTCGCACTGCATTGCACAGCTCGATCTGATTTCGCAATGCGGGGGTGGTGGGGGACACGGCCGGGGCATGCGGGGTGGTCGAAGGCAGCTGGCCACACTGGCCACCACCCACCCTCCGGGCGGCACTGCGCATCTGCCCAAGGCTGCTTCCACAACCAAAACACTCTGCACGACTTGGTACAACCGCAGGGCTGCAGTCTGCTCGCCACGGGGGTCTATGTTCAGTGGCGGATCTAGAGTAGCCGGCAACCGGCCTGATGAGGAGGTGGCAGCAAGCGACCAAAAAGGGAGGGGGGGGCGCTGTAGCAACCCTCACCCCTTTTTGCCGACATTCCAGGCAAAGTACTACTTTTTATTCCTGAAAGTGTGCAGGGCTGGGGGAAGGGGGGTGTCGGGTGTCTTCCACTCCATCCGCTCCATCCGCGCGGGGGAAGTCCTGAAGACGGAATAAGGACCCTTATTTTTGTACTTCATTCAGAATGGCTGAGAATTATTCCTGAAGGCTGGCCTATGACTGTCCAGCAGAGGAAGAAATAAAGTGCAAAGCTAGAGGGGAAAATATCCTGCCGCTTTCACGACTCCGATTCCGAATGCCGAAGGGAAGTCATACCGCGAGCTCGTCTGCGGCACTCTCTGTGGGCTGACTATCCAGACAAATGTATTTTCCCCCTCAGAGTTCAGTTTGCGATTGGCGTCTCGCTCATTCAACCACTGCAAAAAGCCTTGAAGCGAAAGAAGAAAGGAAGAAAGGACCCCACCTGCCCACTGTCTTTTCTTTTCTTTATCGTGCGTGGTAGTCAGAGCCCCCCTTTGGGTTTCCCCCGGAATCTTTGGTGGGGGGCAAATTTTTATGAAAAAGTTTGGGTTTCCACCGTTAAGGGAGCCAAAGGCCCCGGGGAAAGCCGAAAAATGTTATTTTTTTCTATTATAAATTTTTCCACCCAAACGCACAAAATGGGGCCTTTCTTTTTTTGGTCGTTTGGGTGTGGGTCCCTTGCAGGCGCAAAGGGCCCAAAAATTCCCACCTTTTTTGCATTAAGTCCCCTTAATTCGGGGAAAAAAATAACCATTTTGGGCCCTCTGAATTTTTAAATGCCGGGAAAAGGGGGGCGGGGCCCTTTTGCCATTGAGCCCAAAAGGTGAAGTCTAACCGTTACTTTTTCCCCGGGCTTTAAAGGTCCTTAAAGGGGGAAAACCCTGGTTTAGTTCCTAATTCAGGGGTCGGGCCAATGGGTGTTGGGGTACCCTCGACTGCGGCTTGGCCTTCCCAAATTAAAAAAAAAATAAAATTTGTTTAAAAAAATTGGGGTTTTACTCAAATTTTTTTGCCCTTTTTTTACTTATTAAAATTCTTAGCCATTTAGGTTTATTTTTTAAATTTAAAAATAAGTATTTTTAAGTTTCCGGGCCCCCAAGCGAAAAAAACCCTATTAATAAAAATTTAAAATTTTTGTGAGGCAAATATTTTTTTTAAAGGGTTTTAAGACCGGGTAAAACTTCTCTTTTAAAAAAAAACAGTCCCAAGGGTTTTTTCAACCAGGTCCCAAAAAAAATAAAAAACCCCCTAGGGGCAGCCCCAGCCCCTCCCAGGGGGCCTTTCCCCGCAGTTAGGAAAAAGGTTACCATCGAATTGTTCCAACCGGAAAATTAAAGCTTCAACCTTTAAATTTAAAACCCTTTTGGGCCTTTTTTTAAACAATCCACCCTTTTTTGGTGGGCAAGGACCAAAAAAAAAAATGGGGGGGGGGGGGGGGGGGGGGGGGGGGGGGGTTTTTTTTTTTTTTTTTTTTTTTTTTTTTTTTTTGGGGTTGCCTTGGTTCTTCCTCGATCCTTGGTTCAGGATCACAAAGGATCTCCCAGGCCGTGACAACGTGCGCGCTGCCGCACGCGCCGTCGCAGAAGCGGCGCAGCAGCAGCAAGGAACACGGAGCAAAATGGCGGCGAGCAAAGTGTCCAAAAAGTTACATTCTATGGCTATAGATTTCCTTTCTAGCCGAAAAAACGCCAACAATCTTGCAGACATCATTTCCCTCATTGAGGTCAGTATTTAGAGTGGTGTTGCGGTCCTTGCAGGGCCGCGCAACATCGCCTGTTTGCCACTTTGCGCCGAGCCTGTGCGTGGCCTGGGGCACTTTCACGTTCTTTATATAACGAAATGGCCAGCATAAACAATTTCGTCGAGCTCTCCTGAGTTTCAAATGTACTGAATTTGGTTCCGTTTTCATTTTGCCAAATTTTTGGAGTTCATTGTATTGGAAGTCCTGAAAACTGATACCTTTCAGTCCGTGTTGTTCTACATGGTCGCTTAGCAGAACAACTTGGTGTGGTGAGGTTCCTCATTTGCAGTGTTTTCCGTCGCAAATTTTGCGTTCGTTAAGAGTTTTACCAATTTTCTGAAACTTAGCTGGCACTATTCGTCCACTTTTTTCATGACTTTTGTTTGATTTTAATTTTTATTATTAATTTTGTTTCAGAGTAATGATTCTAACATACAACCATGCCTCCTTGCTTTAGAAGTTATCTTTATTGAGGTTCTGAAACGGCGAGACATGTATCAAGAGATACCAGTTACTGATTTAAGTAAGTTTTTTTTATTTTAAATTCAAAGTATTATTTTTCTTGCCGATTAGCTGCAATCTACACTATTAATTATTTTTCATAAGGTACTGCTGATGGCGAAACTCAATTTAGAGTATGGCTAAGAGAGTGCTTTGAAGATGTCTGGAGTAAACTTCTTGCTGTTATAACAAACAGTCCAAAGATTTCTGTTCAAACCCAAGCTTTGTCAACTTCAATGAAATTAATTGCTATGGAAGGACAGAACCCATTAGAACCGCTCAAAAAAGGAGAACACTATTTCCCCAGTCATCGCTTAAGGGTAAGAATAAGTTTATTCACCAATCAGAAATTCTAGTTCCGTAACTGAAAATTAAAATTTATTGCTCCTTTTCAGCTTTTACTTTTAGCTCTCCTTTCATCTGGCCGTAATAGCAGTCCACTTCTAGCTCGCCTCCAAGAATTCTCAACATATCCCGATGTCCTGTATAATGTTTGGAGGCAACTGTTTCCTATTGCAATTGGTCTCCAACGCAATGGTCAAAGACCGGATGAAAATTTCATTCGTAACTATCTGGATCTTATTGACAAATTCCCGCTACCCAAACCTGGCAGGGGTGAAAGAGGAGAAGATCATGACCTAACAGACACCCTGCTCTGTGGACAACAAGGTCACATTGGCTACATTTTAAATATGGATCACTTGCGAAAGTCAGTAAACAAAGTTTGGGGATGTGTAATGCATTGGAATCATACCCCAGCAACCCAGCGTCTGCTTCTTGTGGTCCTTTTGGAACGTGTTCTACCATTCCTAGATAAACCTCTACTTCTTACTGACTACTTGATGGATAGTTTAGACTCTGGTGTGTATCAGCTTGTCAGTGTTCCTAGGTTTACAGCCTGTAATTCTGTTGAGTATCCTAACCAAATATTTATTTGTAGGTGGTGCTGTAAGCCTCCTCGCATTGCAGGGAATTTTCACTCTCATTCAAAACCATAACCTGTGAGTGTAAATTTTTTACTTCTTTTAAGTTTTTTACAAATGTTTACAACATGGATTGTACATGTTTGTTGTATCTTTCAGGGAATACCCCAATATCTTCAGTAAACTGTATTCAATGTTTGAACCAGAAATCTTCCATACAAAGTTTAAAGCACGATTGTTTTATTTATCAGATATGTTCCTAAGCTCATCGTAAGTTAATTTTAAAATGTTAATATGTATTTCTTAATAGTAGTTGATTCTACATATGTCTCAAACCATTCCCTTTTCTGTCCAATCTGAACAGGCACCTGCCAGAAAATATTGTTGCAGCATTTGCTAAACGCTTAGCCCGTTTATCTTTAGTGGCTCCGCCTGAGGACATTCACATTATTCTTATGTTCATTGGAAATCTCATTTTACGCCATCCTGGTCTTAAACTTCTCATAAATAATCCAAATGGCGACAATGGTTTGTTTCTGTCCATGTTTCTCCAGTAAATGTCATGTGCTGACTTCTAAATTAATCCTTTTACATACAGTTCCAGATGACCCCTTTGTCATGGAAGAAAGGGATCCGAGCAAAAGTAGAGCTATGGAAAGTTCATTATGGGAACTACATACCCTTCAAAGTCATGTTTTACCTGGAGTGGGAACAGCGGCCAACTTCATTTACAACCCTCTCCCTTCTGTAGAGTGGGATCTGAGCCAAATACTGGAAGAGAGCTCTGATGATGTAAGTCCTAGCCATCTTTATTCCAAATCCCTTTCGGTCTTCAGTATTCTCATATGATTCTATTGGATTTTCAGATATTTGAAAGGGAAATGAAGAAGAAACTAAAAGAGATTGCTCTAACCTTTGATCGTCCACAAACATTGTCACTGCCACAACATGAACGAGTATCACAGTTTTGGCAGCTTGTTTAAACACCATGTTCTTGCTTTGATTTTGCTGCTGCCTTACTGTTGTTTCAATTTATTGGAGGTTGATATTTTACATTCTGATTTGTATTCTGTGAAACCCCATTTCAAAAAAAATTGCTGTAACAGAATTTTGACATATTTTGAGATTATGTCATCAGGATTCGTAGTGAGAGGGTTTCACTGTATTAAAATAGTTTTCAAGTGTTGATGTGTTAAAACAAAAAGTTTGAGAGTTGTTTGTTTTTCTTTCACAAGCACAGTTTATGGAGTCTTTTGTTCTTTTAAAGTAATTTATTTCATGCCATGTGAATGGGGGAATGAACACACTTCTCCCTCTTAAGTCTGATCGCATATGATAGCCAATCCCAGTAAATACTTCATTACTTAGTTTGTTAAAACCAACTACAACATTTTTCCTTGATTATTGCATTATTAATTGGAAACTTGAGTTTTAAGGTGCCATAGGGTATGAATACTCAATGTTAAACCACCAAAGCCTTTCTGTAAATATTGTTACATGCAACAAGTAGTGTAGGTACAAAGTAGTGCTGTGTGGTATCAGCAAGTGTTAGCACTGTTTCTCACACTCAATCCTCTTGTTTTTTAATCTTTTATATTATTATCTGAATACTTCAAACTCATCATACAGTCAATGGTACTTCATGTGCCATGATTCAAGAGAACTGTATTCTACACAGGTGTTTCATAATCATCTTGAACGTAAGATAAATCTGTCTTTAATAATGAGTTTAATTTGGTTGAAGGGATTTGATCTTTCTTTTCTGTAATCCTATCATTTGTTGTCAACAGGTTAATTATGATAGATCTGGGGCTGCCCCTAGAATTGAAAACAGTGCATTTGCAATTCGTGTTCCTGGGGTGTGTCAAAAAATAAATTGAAGATTGTAACCATTGGAAACTTGTAACAAGTTTTATGTAGGATTGTGCTTTAATTGGTTATTTGTGGACCGAACCCATGTTTGATTGTGAGTTTAGTTGTTGCATTTGCAGAAGAGAATGATCAAAATCATTCTTGTGCAACAAATAATTCTTTGTCTGTGATTTTTATCAGTTAAGGGTTATAACTTGTTCATAATTTTAATTTTGTGTTTAAACTTTCAAAATTAAGATTTGTGGAGCTCAATTTGTAGACTTGCAGTTGCTGCTAAAACCCCATTTCTTAATTATTTGTTTTTAAGATTTTCTTTTGTAGTACAGTAATTTGAATTGTTCACCTTGATTGAGCATCCACCCAAGGCACATAGTGTTGCAAATTTACTTAAACATTAACTTTTGACGTGACCCTTTTGTTTCATATTGCCATGTGAGGTATGGCACCAATCGCTGTGATAGTTGGTATGTTGAAAGGGGCAATACTGCTGTGTGAGACTGAGTGTTTGCCATGTCATACATGGCTGCATGTGACTGACTTTCTGAGTCATGTGAGTGCAGGGATGGTTTGGATACTGTGGTGAAAGTTTCAGCAACAAGTGCTTTGAAAGCCAGCTAATTTCCTTTGGCCTTTAAAGCACATCTTCACAAATTTTCTACATCTTGGTTGCTGCTAAATGATTGTTGCTGAACCTTTCATCTTCGTCTTGAACTTGCTGTGTCTTATTGTTTCCCTCAAGAGTACTATCATTCTATGTAATAAAGAGTACATATGTTTGCATTTTCCCAATTCTTGTGTCATGATTAGAGCTAAGATAAACAGTGAGCCTTTATGTGGCCCATTTTCTTCATACAACACCTATCAAACCTTGCTAATTCTTTGGATTTGACTGCCTCAGATCATCAGATTTGAACTACTATTGTTAAATGGGAAAGCCTAATCTTGGCACAAGGATTGTGATGTGATATGTCAAGCTGTGAAAAGGCTGTTTAATCAGCACACCAACATTCTAATCATTTTATATGTAATTAATTAACTCACGTGATGTTAATTAAAAGTATTGCTTCTGGTGTGTAAGATATCTTTCTTTATTTTCCTCATGCCTCAATGGTGCCTCTGAATTCACACGTTTCGTCTAGACGTAGTCCCGACATCAGTTCACTTTTCCCGCCCATGCCACAGTGGCCGGATGCATGCATACCAACTCTCCGGGTGAAAAATCCTCCAAGTGACAGGGAATGTAACAGGCTGCTTAAGTGCTCTATCTAATATGAAAGTCCACGAGTTTCCTCAAGTCATGCCCCCCTCAACAAAGGTCATTAATGCAATATAAAACCTCTCCTTAATACTGTGTTGTTGTGCACTAACTTAAGCAGTGGAATGAGCTTTTGCATTTCGTGGTTCGGAGAAAAATGTTTTAACGGGGAAAGGCTGGATTGAAACTGAAAATTTGGGTCCCATTCCTCACATTTCGACAAATAATGTCGATAAATGGTCATAACTCCCAGTGTATTTAAAAAGTGACATTGACACTTCCATTCGTGACGTCACGTCCGCTGGTGGTGCTGAGGGGCGGAGAAGTTGGCAGAAGCAGTGGCAGCCATATTCTGTATTTTCATCGGCCCAATATTCTGATCTTGTTTCTGCGCTGTATCTTTGACATCATTGTCTTGCTCCGTACTCAAGTAATTTCCCCAGATTCTTTTATTTCCATTTGTTTGTAAATTTTGCATATTTTATCTCTCTTGTTGGATTTTAAGGTTGCGAAATTTGCTTTGTTGTAGGACTAGGGTTAGGCTTTCAAAACCACAATAAACTTATCGCCCATCTTCTAAAATGGGTACCCGAGACGACGAATACGACTATCTGTTCAAAGGTAAGAAACTTGATGACTGATTTCTTTAACTTAAATAAGTGTGCAATGTCTAAGTTGCGTTGGCTATCAGCTGTTCTTCGTGCTGTGATCCTGACGGCCTACGTCTAGTTGTCAAAATAAGCCTGTTAGCCTGTAGACTCCTATTTCCCTTGTAGTTTCTAGGAACTCTACTTGTTTCTGCTAGTTTTTCTGCCGCTGTTGAAATTTCATGAGGATTTACTAGTGAAGGGTTGAAGTGAAGGGGGATGTGCTGTCGCTGCCCTTTTTCTTTCGGCCGTGATTAGGCGCGGCCTTTTCCATCATCTCCCTATTAAGCAATCAATCAAATTAAATCAAATCCAAGTTGAAAGGAGAAGAGCCTACTTTTGATAATTCTCGCTCAGTGTCTTTGGCTGCTGTAACTAGATTATCAAGTCTATGGGATGAATGAATCACATAACTGTCAAAGTTGACTTTGTCATTTGTTCTGCCTTTGAGAAGTGGTTTGGTTAGAGCCTTTGTTTGGATTTGTGAATGGACTGATTCCATTTTGAACCTTCTATTTTCTCTTAACTATTCGTCCGCCGTGATATTAACTGCTGAGGCTCTCATATTTTCCCTGATTTGTAAATGTGCTTACCCTTGGCCATATTTTTATGAGTGTCAGCTGAGTCATTCTTATCACTGTCCATTTCCTATCCACTTGTCATCTGACGTTGATTTTTTTTTTAATTTTGCCAATTTCGTCAATGCATTTTATTTTAATGTTTGCATTTTGTTCTGCTTCTAATTTATTAATGTCCAAGAGTGTGGTTATTTGTTTGCTGTTATTGTCCTATAATTCATTTGCTTTTTCTTCCAGTGGTGCTTATTGGTGATTCGGGAGTTGGCAAAAGTAACCTTTTGTCTCGTTTCACAAGGAACGAGTTCAATCTGGAATCTAAATCCACCATAGGTGTTGAATTTGCAACAAGAAGTATACAGGTATGTCAATTATGTTTTCTTTCAACAATCATATTCGGCTCTTATTCTCATACCACTATATTGAAGATCTCAATTGATCCTCAGCTTTTTAGAGTTCTAAAATCTTTAAATATGAAGTTGATTTTTTTACCAAACTTGTCTGCTTTTAATAGGTTGATGGTAAGACAATCAAGGCTCAAATATGGGATACTGCCGGTCAGGAACGTTATCGTGCAATTACATCAGCGTAAGTTTTATCGGAGTTTTAGTGTTACTTTGGCAGTTTAATTTTGTGGCCAGTTTTTTTATTGCTCCACATGCTGTTTCAGTTACTACCGTGGTGCTGTTGGAGCATTATTGGTCTATGACATTGCGAAGCATCTGACTTACGAAAATGTTGAACGTTGGTTGAGAGAGCTCCGAGACCATGCTGATCAGAACATTGTCATCATGCTCGTGGGCAACAAGTCGGACTTACGGCATTTGAGAGCTGTCCCTACTGATGAGGCAAAGAACTTTGCTGAACATCATTCACTTTCATTTATTGAAACATCTGCTCTTGACTCAACAAATGTGGAACTAGCATTCCAAAATATTCTGACAGGTGAGTCAAGGTGGATGGGGGAACCATGTGATTCACTTGCTGTCATATTTTTTTCATTCTAATGGTTCCTTTGTTTTGTTTCAGAAATCTATCGTATTGTATCTCAGAAGCAGATTCGTGACCCACCAGAAGGAGACACCATTCGCCCTCAAAATGTAGAACCGATTGATGTGAAGCCCACTGTAAACGCTGACAGTGTGCGTAAACAGTGCTGTCAGTGACAAGATGCCCCCTCAGTTAGTTGCGATTTTGGACCAGGTGTGTGTCAAAATTCTGTGTTTAAATTTCATGTAAATGTATTTTATGTTTTCATTTTTATTTACTGTCTTCTTCACAGGAGTGATGTGGCGTGTATTTGTGGTTTGATCTTGTAGGCTCCACTCCACTTTGATGCTACTTGAACACAGCTTGTCATCTTGTACGACGTGACACAACACATGCCATTTGCTCTGTGTGCACACTCGTTCACTCACCACACACTCATGCGGCCTAAACAAGTCTTTTAATCTTTTTGAGGTTGCTGGACTAGTGGTTGTGCTGCCCCCTACTGTGATCAGGGTAATTCAATGTATGCAATACTAGGAAGCAAAACCTAAATGTGCTAGATTTCTTAGCATTACAAAGTATCTTCAATTCAAATTTTTACTAGGTTATAAAGTTTTGTGACAATGTTTTGTAGTATTTTAGTGGATTGTTGACAAGTGCTTTGAGCAATGATAGGAATGAAATGGATACCTTAGTTCCTATGTTGGGGGTGTGCTGAGGAGAGTGTGCACTAGTGAGTTAGGGTAATATCCTATGGTTTTAAGGACAGATTACGTGTTTGATACTTGTTGCAAGTGTTTGTGTGTGTGTGTGTTTGAGTGTGCGAATGCATGTGTGAAAGTGTGAATGCCTGTGTGCATGCATGCGTGCAGACTTGCTGACAGTTCATGCAGTTGAGTTTTTCACTCGTCAAGTCCTCTAGGGTTAAGGGTTCTCCATTCTCTGCCATCAGTCCATCAGCCGTCCCAAATGACCTGCATACTCCTATCAGGTGGCAGCATGATATATTGTAATTAATGAGTTTTATATTGTGTTTTGTACATTGTTTAAATTTAGCTGCGCTGTATGGAGGGAAACCAAAGGGGTGGCTATTGTAGAGCCACTGCATCATCAAGTAGAATTAGGACTTCCCAACAACTACAACAGCAACAAATAGAAATCTTGAAGCGTTTTAATTGGTCATTTCTACAACTCTGGGTGTACTCTTTAATTTTGCTGGGCTGCAACTGGTTGGCTTGCCATTGGACTGGTGCGAGTAAGCTGGAGAGATCTGCCATAGGCACCTGGTTGTTAATCAAAATTTTATCAAAATGGGAGGATACTTGCTGGCAAAGCTTCTCTCTTCCCCTCATTGTGGGTTTACTTTTAATTAAATATTTATCAAAAGCTGTTAAAAATGTAACAAGTTATAATTTTTACTTAATACCTTTCCCATTATTTAGCATTTATGAGATTAATTATGTTCCCAGTGAAGCGGCCCAGCTTTTATTGTTTGGTGTTGTTTTACACAAGGCCCTTGTTAAAATAACTTTTTCTCCCCTTTGAAGTATTCTATTTTGCGCCATAAGATGCACAATTTACTCAAAGTTGTGCTGCCTTAATATCTGGAATAAATTTTTATAACGTTGCTTTTTGTTACTCAGTGTTTATTTTATTCCTTTGTTCTTCATGTTTTTCATCAAATGGTTGTGGATGTAACTTTCTGGCATTTACTTTGGGAGCAGAATTAGTCATCTAAGGAATTTTTTTAATGTATTCAAAAGCAATGTGTCAAGAAAACATGCAACTTGTTCAGGGTTCCCTTTCAAAAAAAAAAAAAAAGCCAGGAGCTGTTTCATGACTCTTCAACCTACCCTGTGAAGAATGTGCCTTGAGGTGCTTGTGTCTGTATTGCTTAATTTTACTCATTTAAAAATTATATTTTGTGATTAAGTACAAGACCAGCATAATTCAACTAATGTCAAATGCGATGTGGATGTTACGGGAAGTCATGCTGCATTGGGGGAATACTCTCTTGATAACAAATGGATAGAAATCGAACTAGAAAGTAAACGTGGCAGCATCTAAGTAATTTTTTTAAAAATGGCCATGAGTGGCTTACTGTATGTATTTCTGGCCAGTTTCAATACCAATGAAAGTGATGTTACTTATGTAAGTAGTTTTATATTTATCACCATGTTACCTGGTGATCTAATTACTCTCATAATGGCATAATGGAGACCATGTTTTGAGAAACATGCCAGAAGAACATGTGATCTTTGACTATGTGACTATGTTGTTATTGTTCCATTCTTTTTCTTTAAACTAGTAATAAAAATTAGCCATTTTATCGCTCAGCGTGTCTTATGCTTTTGACACAACTTGTGGAAGTGCAACAGACAGACGCTCATAGCCTCCGATATATGGTTGTTCACTTCTTAAACTATATTTATGTCCTTATGAAGCCTGATGTTTTCTGGACATGTCTATGAACAGATTTAATATCAAATTAGATAGGTTTCTATTTGCAATTTGTCAGAATTCATTACTAAATTTGAATACATACAAACATGTTTCAATAATGGTGCTTGTGATTCTGAAATTTTAAGTCTTATGATAATGGTACTGATCATGCTGAGAGGACTTTTTCATGATGTACTTTTCAAGAGTAAATTTTACCTCATTCCTTTTCTTTTCTTTTGTTCATAGCATTCCTGTTGCACTGAACCCAAAGGCTGATTTGTTAAGTTTGTAGTAAAAGGTGCCATTTTTGACATCTGTCTTATTTCTGCTTTCTTACATCTGCACCTCCTGTTAATCTGTGTTGAGTGGTCTACCGATTGAATAATTGTAAAATGATTTAGCAAATAAAACTTGTTCTCCAAACCAGTAACTTGCTTTGTGTCTAAAGTAACTATAGTTATTTTTACTCTGTGTGGACTCACCTCAGTTTTAAGTGCTCACTGGGCATCACTCCCTCTAACACTGTATTCATTGGTGATACGCACAAAACTGGTCCCTCTTTTGACCTAATCCAAATTCCAGGGATAATCTAATTGTCTGCCATACATCCTTTTATTTTTGTGCTCAAAGACTTCTTCTGTTGGAGCCAAGACTGTATGTTAAGCTGTTCATAAACTAATACTGAATACTCTGGTAACTTTTACATTGTTAAATTCCAAATACAACTCTTCATATCAAGGTAGAAATATAGAGTAGTGGCGCTTTTGTGCACATTTCATGAGAAAGGGCTTGGTTTGGTCCTGTGGCTTACTATTATGTATAATATGAAGATGTTTAATTAATGCAATTTGTAGATGTGTACATGCGTGAGTGCCTGTACTAGAAGAAGGAATGGAATGGGAAAAACAAAAATTCTTTGCCATCCTGTGATTTTTTTTCATCAGAGAGCTAATTGAGTGCATGAGGGTGAATGATTCCATGATTAAATGAACTGCAGTGTACCTTCTGCATGTGGCAGCGGTCAATGTATTATATTTTTTAAAACTGTAAGTGCTGTAAAGTTATTGTGACCCAATAAACCTCAACCAGCATGGGGGTAATCGCTTTAAAATAAAATTAACCAAAGCTTCAAATCTCATCTCGAACTTGAAATGCCAGTCACCTTAAGGCAAGCAGAAGGTGGAGGAGTGAACAAATTGTAACAACTTTTTACAAAGAAGTAAAACATGACAACAGCGACTGCTTTCTTAACAATTTATTTATTTATTCTATACAATCACATACATAAGCAATGAATTATGATTCATCGTTTGGTCATTTATATACTTTATATATACTGCATATATAGGATTCATGCGCCTTATGTATAGAATATAAGGCACACTTATATACACTACTTACCTACCAAGGTCATAAAAAAATCAATCACAAAATTAAAAACACTACATATCACAGTTCATTCATCTGTCATACAACATTTGTGGTTCTTCCTGACTCTTCGACTACCATCTGCATTTACAGTACATTTATGTGTATAATCATATGCAGAAAACATGAGTTTAAATTACAAGTCATAAAGGGTTTGGTTGTAAAACATCAAACCCGGAATGTTACATTTTGGCACGGAAACAGTGGCAAATCAATACAGCACCAGGTGCCAGTCATTCTCACAACTTAAAGGGTTCTGAAAAAGAACCTGCACATAATTTTCTTACAGCATGTGTTCCATGGAAATGCACAGTTCACACTTTCATCATTGCAAATGACTCGCAGCTTGCAAGTAAAATTTTAAATTGTCTTCGCCCTTAGCATCCAATGCTAAGAAGACCTGTAGGTCAACTAGGCAGACGAAGATTTCAAATATGGGGAGGAAGTTCACTGCAGAGCCAATATTACACTTTTCCCAAATGACCATGATGAAACAATTGATGAGCAGAATAATTATAACTTTTCTTGTTGAAACCCAGCCATACATACATTATTTGAGTGTTGTATGATATCAGAACAGAAACCTACAATAAATATCATTATCTTTCCAGGCACATTTTATGTTCACTAATTGCATCTAAAATCCAACACTTTGGACTTGCACAATAAAGTTGTAAATTTGTGCTCTTAATATTTTCCAGTATAAAAGAAATTACGGTAAGAACCTATACAGGTCTCCATATCTAGTATTCAATCAAGCTAAGCTTTAAAACTAAGCATAACTGATGGCATTCACAACATTACTGCAAAACATTTGTAAAGAGAAACATTCAATAAATGAAATTGATTTATATTCATCACAAAATATTGTCTTAAAAATAAGGTGGCTATATTTCTAAGGAGTCGGTTAACCCCACACAAGCAGACACAAAACACAAGGTTGTAACAAAAGGCTTCCTCCCATAACACTGTTCATTGTGTGCAAACTGCAAAACACTTGATCTTCTTTCATGTTCACTCCCTTACAGCTCTAATTCAACAAAAGATTCAGGAGATAAAGATGTAGTAAGTTTTTTTTTTTTGTTTTGAAATAAAGTCTTGAATTCAAATTCTCTTTCCCTGTTAAAAATTCATGCAAAAATTAACAAGGAATTCATTTCTAGCCCTTAATAGAACAACATAGTAGAATTGATCAAAAATAAAATTGGGAAATCCCATTTATGAAGCTTTATAAAACAATACAATCAAAGAGACAAAGAATAAAGTTGATGAAAGGAAAAAAAATCATAAAAAAACAACTTACGTCAGAAAAAATAGTTTAAAACTCTGAAAAGCTATGACAAAAATATAACTTAAAGAAAATGTCAATTTAGATATTCACATGGAAAATAAAAGCACCACATTCCAATGCAACAGCGCAACAACAAATAAGAGAAAATGACAGTACTGCAACAAAAGCGGCAGCAGTACATAAACTTTTAAAATTTCCTCTGAAGCATGTGGAATCTTAAGTGGGGGAAGGGCAATAAAAATTATAGTTCATTTTAAGACCAGAGCACATTATACAACAAAGTTCCTCCATCAACTCGCTGCGTGGCCACCCGACGCTCCGGCAGTGCCCTGTGGCTTGGGCGGCAGCCTTGGGGTGGGCGACGTTAAACTTGACGGCGACGTCAGGGGCGAAGGCGAGGGCGGCGGGCAGTCGCTGGTGCTGCCGTGGCGCTGGTGGGCGATGGGCCTGCTCTGCAGGGACAGGGACAGTGACCCCGTGGTGCCGAGCTGGTTGCCGTGCCGATTGAGAGACAGGGCCGGCGTGGGGCATGGGATGGGAATGGGGATGGGGATGGGGGCGGGCCCGGGGACGGCGCAAGTCCGCGATGTGGGCAGCGTCTGGCTGCCGTGGGTGCCGTGCCGGGTGAGGGAGCTCAAGTTGTGGCCGTGCCGCGAGGGCCCGATGGAGCCTATGGGAGGAGGCACGTGGTTGCCCTGGCGGCCGTGGTTGAGGACGGGCACGGACTGCGTGGCTCGGTGGTTGATGGGGTGGTTCAAGGTGCCGGCACCAGCTGCAACACAACTCCGTTAATCTCTAGCCAGAGAACAGTACAAGGTGCCATGCCAGATTAGATTGTGCGACTTGACTCACTTGAAGCATAGGTAACGGGACTAGTACTGCTGTTGGCTGGAGGCGACGGCGGCTGCGACGTGGAGGACGCCAAAATGGGCCCGTTGATGGACATGTGCCGTCGCGGTGCAGTCTGCGTCGCGTTCAGGCCCGACGCGTCCGCGATGCCCGAGTTGCGACGCAACAGCAGGGCAGACTGGGCGTGCGGCCTGGGCAGCGTGCTCGTCCTGGGCGGCAGCGGGGGCGGCGACAGGTCACGCGGAGGCAGGATGGGGGCGTCGGGAGCCTGTCGCGCCTGCAGTGCCTGCGCCTGGAATCGGAGTCACCACAAGTCAAGCCTTGCCAATACTCCGCAGGAAAGCGAAGAGAACCCCGCCACTGCACTGTACCTGGCTTGTCGACGGGAACCTCGTCGGGGCGTGGATAGACACGGGCGACAGCGCCGGGCCCGACGCGCCGTCGCTGATGGAGCTCTCCCGCGGCCGCCTCGGGGGCAGTGGCGGCGGGTTGGCGGGCGGGGGCATCTTGTCCGGCGCCGGGAACGGCGGGATGGGCGGCGGGTGCACAAACGAGGGCGACGTGGCCGGAGACCCTCCAGGCCCCACCAACCCCGCCAGCCCCACCAGGTTGGATCCTTGGAAGGTGGGCGACACCAAGCTCACGGTGGACTGGGAGTGCATGGAGGCGTGGGACATGAGCCCCGGTGACATGTTGCCGATGCCTGCAACACGGACAGCGAGGATCGCATCAGGTCCGACACTTCGGCCACTCCACACACGAGCTGGAGCAGGGGAACGTGACTTACCCGAAGGACCTAGGACGACAGTGGCAAACACACTGAAGTCTGAGGGGGAAGAAATGGAGCCGGTGTGCGGGGGAGGCGTGTGCGGTGCAGACGCCGTCAGGGGCGTGCGGGGGGTGTCTTCGCCGTCCTTGTCGGCGTGGAAGGGAGCTGTTCGCTCGGTGACACTGGTCAGGGGCGTGGGAGGGTGAGACCGTACAAGGATATTGCGTGGCTTGATGCCGGGCGACTTCAAATTCAAATCTGGCCATCGACGCGACTGGATAAGGTGCAAAACAGATTAATTAGGAATAGGGACAGGTAAGCAATGGGGTGCAGCTCAAATATTTCCTTTCCTGCAGTAACTTTCAAGCTCAGATACTCACAAATCTAGGTGGTCGTTGTACACCTCTTGGTTCCACATCCAAACTTTTCCTGTACAGGAAATCAGCTATTTCCAAATCAGGCATATTGTCAAATGGATTCAAAGTCTCAATAAAACGCTGTAAATGAAACAAACAGTTTTCAATTTCATCTTTTAAGCAATAATGGTAATACATATTTTAAATAATAATAAAAGTTTGAAAGGATTTGGACCAAAAATTTAGATGAAGAGCTTACCCTAATTTTCATTTCCACAGAAAGGCAATAGGGTTGGTTCTGGTATTGCTGAATTTCCCCAGTGATTTCAGCAACCTTTCGTCGTTTGCTAAAGTTTATGAGAGCTGGAGCATTAGGTAAGAAATCTGGGTTTCCTTCTTCTATGTGCAGGATGTTTGTAAGGTACATTCCTGAAATGAGAGTAACATGTGTTGAAAGGTTAGGGTACTGTGTACTGTAATAAAGATCAATAGTGAAATTATTGGAACAAGCAACAAACCAAAGAAGGGAACACATGGAGGGTTTATTGATCTTAGCTTTTCTTGGTACTTTTTGAAATGGTCACTATTCAAATCCCTTGCATCCTCAAGAGCCTTTTCCAGACGAGCAGAAAGAGCCTGAAATCCACAAACACAACAATAATAACACAATCATCAGACCTGTAAATGACAGAGAGAGGTGTCAAAATCATCTTAAATTTGAAATGAAGGACTTACAGAAAATGTAAACTTAAGCCTGTAAACAGATGCAGAGCCCATAGCAGATACAACAGCCAAAACTCCATTGAAGTTGTTCAGCTCCTGGAGCACCATCATCACTTCAATAATACGAGACACAACTGCCACTCGTTCATCATGGTTCTCTGCTTCAACAATATTCCTTTCCAGCCATCGAGTGAACTACAAGAAAACAAAAGCAAATCAAATCACTGATTGACTAACTGAGATCCTGACTGTCCTTAAAGTGCTTTCATCACTCACATTTGTGGTATGTTTGATCATGCGTAGTAGATTAGGGGATGACTGTTCTTTGTCCTTCTTGGTCCACACACTCCCAACTAACTCAGATGGTTTGACTGCTCGATACAAGTCAAACTCCAACAATGTGAGTTGACGGGCAATTTCAATTGGATGTAGCTGTGGATTGAAAATAAGTGAATAGTAAAAAAGCTCTGACAACTTTTACAATTCTGTAATTGTACACACTTACAGTGAGTATGGTCCATTCTTCCTCAGCACATTTGATGTGCCACTCAATTGGGGGAGGAGATCGGTCAAAGGGGAATGTGATTTCACGCTGCTGGACATTAGCATCACTGTCAGCTTTCCTCTTCACCACTTTCATGACAGAGACAACCCATTTTCGCATGGATTTCCCTTGTACTGTTTCCAGGAAATCATGAAGTTTTTCTAAAAGTTCTGGATCTCTTTCGAAGTCATAATAATGATGATCTACCCAATGGCGCAAAACGTTCAAAACCCTGCACAAAGTAGAAGAATGGTTAGATATTTTGAACTTTGGAAAATAGCCTTACAGTAAATAGAAATTTTAAGTATTCTGAAGTCACCTGAATTGCACTGGTTGACAGTACTCCTTTCGATACCTCTTCCAATCCTCTCTCTGGATATTTGAGATATTGACATCGCTGTCACCATCATTGTTCTCCTGGTCCTCATACACCAATGATGGGTCAGGGATACTAAATCTTTCAATGAGCAAGTTCAATAGTTCCTACAACACACAAGATTAGGTTAGGGTTAAAGAACGAAATTTTCAGCATCCATCCACTGATACACTGAAAAGAACTTTTACCTTTGGTGTACAAAAACTTCGATATGTTGTCAGAAAAGTTCTCACAAACATGGGGTCAGCATAGATATGATAGGTGAGCCTTTCAACCAATTTGTACAAGGTGGCTCCCTGAAATTAATTAGACAATAAGATAAGAAAAATTGAAGATAATACACAGTAATATTTTGCAGAAATGATTGTACCTTTATCAGAGGGACACCACCATTTTCCCTTTCTTCCAAAGCAATATTGTCCTTGGAGTCAGCTTCAGCAAACTTGTACAGATGAGGAGGGGGAAGCTTTAAAGGATGCTTCTTCTCTTCATCCAGCAATATACTGTCAAGAGTTCGTTCCAACATGCTGAAAATAAATAACACAAATACCACTGAACAATAAGACCAGAACAAATAAAAGGAAATCATTTGATTATTGGGTAGTAATCCAGTCATTATACAAGCAAAATGTGCAATAATCAATTAATGTACCTTTTAGTATTCAACATAATTAAATCAGCCATCCAATTATTCTTTTCTTCGGCTGTTTTGCAGACTAATGTCACACTTGGACCAGCTCGAGGAGCAATATCAAAAGCATGTTTCAACTCTGAAAATGAAGCAGAAATTAATATGAACAACATTGTACAAACAGTTTTCTGTAATCAATGTTTACTTGAAAAAAAGAACTCTAATGGGTGAATGAAAATTGAATAAATTACCATCTGAATCTTCCCGGTCAATTATTTCTACTTTGCGAATAAAGAATTTTTCCTTTACTCTGTATTCTCCCTGAGGACCAATGTTAACAGACACAGATGTCCGTTTATTGTTTGGCTTGCAGAGCACCATTAGACCATCAAACAGAAATGCTCTGCGTTCAGTTAACCGTTTCCCTGAGCCCACTTTACCAAGTGTATCCTCTGCAAAGGCAAAAATTTCCATGTTAATGCAACAAAGTAGCAAATTCAGGTCCTTCAGCACATTACAGTAAATATCTTTGTCACGAACCTCTTATGAATTCATTACAACACTGCCCAACCTCTTTGGCGTCCCAGCCGCCAATAGTGTCATGCAGCTCATTGGTCTTTTCAAGAGCGGCTTGGCGCCGGGCCCGCGGCTGCCGCACTCCCACTTCCCTAAATAGCAGAAAGAAAACAACACATTAGCAAAATTTACTCACATCCAATACAAATACAAAAATTTACAAATAGAAGATACACTTACTGCTTGGGAGGTTTCCCAACAATTGAATTAAGTTTGACCTCAAGGGGTGTTAAAAGGCCTCCCACTTGCTCTAGTGTCTCTTTATCTTCTTTCAAGGGACAAAACCTTTGAAGTACCTGCAAAAATGGTTGTCATGGTGATAAAATTCACTTTGTAGATCATCACTACCATAATGATCTGAAGCTTACCTTAACATAATCAAAATAAAGAAAGCAGTGCCACACTGGCGTAAGAAGTAACTTCGGCAAATAGTATTTGACAGCCTCCCTGAATCCATGGCCAGCTGATTGCAATGCATCATACACATCTGTCCTTGCAAGTAATTTTGACAACATTCCTCTACATGGTTCTTGAATAATATCTCTTGCATATGTATTATAAACTTCAAACTCAGCATTCTGAATCAAAGAAACATGTTAGTTATTGTGAATCAGTATAGAATCACAAGTAAAATCTATCGAGCTGTAACAATACCTCTGCCAGTTCTTCAAAGCAGCTTCCTACAGCAGGAACTTGCTTCTCATCACTAATTTCTAACATGTCTTCAAGGGAGCCCAACAGAGTTACCGTTAATTCTTGGATTTCCATGATGTTGCTGAACATTAAATCTAGTTCCTGCATAACAAGAGAAAACAAAATTTATTTTTAAAAAAAGAAACTAAAAAAAACACACTTTTGAGTGCCAAGTACATATCAGAAAACATTTACAGACCTTGCTGTCATGATCCACTACTTTTGCTATTTCTTCTCTAAAAACTTTTATTATCATATGGAGGTCCCTTAGATACTGCTTCTCATCATGTATGAGATCCTTGACCACTTCTTCATAAGTTTGAGGAGTACGATGCAAATCTGGTACATTTGCAACAGTGGTTGCAGAGTTGCTATCATCTTCTTGGCAAAACAAGTCCAATAGCACCTGTCACACAAGATTCTCATTAATTTAAATATGCCGCTGACATTCAAAACTTCAAAAAGGAAAGTGGGTGAAAAAGGGATAGGTAAGAGCAAACTGGTTTCAATACAACAAAAGAAGAAATATGACTAAATTACAGGAGAAATTGCAAAGATGCAAGGCTTACAGGTAATCTCATGATTGCTAGGATAATAAACTAATCTTTACATAGTAATAAACAGAAAAGCAATTAAAAACAAACTTTGACTAGAGCATGCTGCTTTAGGGATAAGGCATTTGGACTTAAGTAAACTTAACTGGGGAATGACAAGGGCATTAGTAAAGGTTATAATTAAGACCTAAACCTTTTAAGTGGTCTATCCATTCAGAAAGCACACAAAACGCAAAATTTTAGTGAAGGTAATTTAACACGATAATATTAGGGGAAAACCATATAATTGCATGCATTGAATGTTGATTCAAGGTTACAGAAGAATCATGCTCCAAAAGATACTGACAAGGACACTAGGAACATAATTTACAGCAAGTAAGATGTATCTCCAAGCTAGTCTATTGCCTCAAAGTAATTGAGGGAAGCATGTTCCTCTAGTCGAAAAAAATAAATTACAAAGTTTTATTGCTAAAACAACAAATTGAAAGTTTAAATGAGAGGCTTTGCAATGTGATACATATCAGCCATTCATTACATACCACCTAGCAACCTCTAATGAGCGCATGAAAAGAGGAGCACAGCACCAAAAATAAGACATAGACCGTAAACAAAATAGATTTTGAGCCCTCTCATTATCACATTTATTTATGAAGTTTCATTTTCAAAAGCTGCATTACACCAGTGGTTAGGGTACACCATGCTAAATGCTTCTGTTAATTTCTGGCACGGGATTTGGCTACAGTTGCCTTTTCATGAGACACTTAAAGCAATGCATCAAAAACATCAATTTACACATTTGAGCACACAAAACAAACGGACACCCAATAGGAAATGGTGCACACTTACTTTATCAGCATTCATAGCTATTCGTACATCTTGACTGGAAATTTCTACATGACGAATATTCTTGACATAGTTTCCAACCAACTAGAAAAAACATGAGGAAGAATGCAAATTAATACCAGCAGCTAAATAAGTTGCATCATTGAAATATGAGAACAGAATTACCTTCAGTATATCAGCAGAAATATATTCAAGAACAGCAACTAAGAACTGTGTGACTTGAGTGTCGATTTTGTACTGTAGCACATCCTAGTGAGCATACCAACAAAATACTAACATTAGAAGCCTGACCTTTTAATCATTATAATGACAAAACAACAACTTGCAGGGAACATTTACCTTGATGAGCATGGTGTGGACTTTATCAACAGGCAAAACTAACTTATTTTCTTTCTTTTTACCCTTCTCCAATGCTTCTCTTGCTTCATTGAGGGCCCAGCAATCAATGGGCCCTGGAAAGGTGCGTTTGATTCGGTCCTCAACATCTTGCACTGTGTGAGGAGGTGGACGAGCACATAGCATGCCAAGCAGCCGCAGTATCAGCGTTTCAACTCGCTCCAAGGCATCCTCTCTTGCAGTCAAAGACGGATGCACTTGTTCCAGCACCTGAGTGGGCAGAGATAAACAACAAAATATAAACAATTGGACAGGATCTACATGCCACCTCAAATCAAAATGCATTAAAATATTTTTATGCTGAAATTGAAATGGACACTAAACATTGAAACTTTAAAAAGACACCCATAAAGTAACAAAATTACACTGAACATGCAATGAGTCACCTAACCTAACTGAGGAACAACAACTCCCACAATCTGCAAAATAATGATCGGGTACGAGGAAAACGAACGATTTTAGTGAGTCATTTCTATAAATAAAACCACCCACGGCTCTTCATAGAGGGTCTGATCACGATTTAATAATGTTTACAAACAGATCCCCTAACCTTACTTTCAGTGCCTTGCACAGAGCTGTCTGCAATTCCCCTATAATGACAGTCGAGGATGGCCAAGGGAGGGGTCTGTATATTTCAGGGATAGTTGGACGAGATTCGTAAGCCCGCGCGGACCACCGTTCGTCTTTGACTGTCAAAATCCAGCCGCGGCGAGACGAGCTGCGCTCTGCTGCTTAGCTCTGGCTTTGCCAAGCCGCTCGGAGCGGAGGGCCGCCTGGACCAGGGCCGCGGCCCGTCACCCCTTTGCTTACCTTTTTCAGGGACTGGACAAACACACCACGCCATTTGACAGCGTTTTCCTCCTTCTCAAAATCATAGTTATGCGTGTCCGGGCCAGATGACGGTGTTGAGAACATTGCAAAGTGCACAAATCCCGAAAAAACTCCACCGATCTCAGAGGCAACTAGTGATGTGCCTATTGTCCACCATGGTTCCCTGCCCGTAGACTCCCAATGCACCGACTACTTAAACACTTCATGTCAACTTGTGCAATTCTCGTTCGTTCATAAGACCGCAGCACATCACTTAATCAACAGACAACGACAATAAATCCATAATTGTGAAAACACAAACGCTCTGCATCACTCGGTAAACAACTGCACTACGCGCATGCGCCTGCGGGAGTTGCAGGGTAGGGACGCCAACATAACGGTGGGAAAGTCCCCCGAAAGCCCAGGCACTGCAAGTCGCTCCGAATGCTTAAGGATGCCAACAATAAACCAGACTCGCATTTTAATCATATCGAGGTCAGAGAACAGAAGCCGCTGTTCTTTGCTTTCCCTCGAAATCGAGTTCTTTTGGGTGACAATGAAGTAGGGGAATTCCCGTTGATTACAGTGGTGACAGGATGCCCGTGATTCAAAATGAGTTCGAATGGCAATGCGTGGAGTGAATGGAGAAAAGTCTGTTTCCCTCTCTTAGAGTTCCAGAAGTTCCCGCAGAAGTGTACAGCGTCCGGCAGGAAGTTTGAACCCGGGTCTGGGGACGGGGGACGGGGGACGGGGAGAACGGACAAATACTTTGTCTCGCGGATGCAGCGTGTGTGGCATCACACTGTGCATTGGCGGTATTCCCCTTCGGCTTTGTTTCACTTCGCATTCGTGAAAATATTCTGAATGTTATTGTCAACAGCGTTATGTGAGGAGTGCACCTATCACGAAGGCAGGCAGGGCACTCATTCGCATGATTGATTTAAATTAGTACAGCAAGGATGTGGCCTGGGGCTCGGTCTGGGGGAGACGCGACGCCCGACGGGCAGGCAACCCATCGAGCACGCAGGGAAAAGCAAAACGCAGGTGATAGAGTCAAATGTTTATTCGCCAACAACTGAACGCGCACATACTAAGCAGCATGGTTAAACTAAGTCAGTCGTTGGTTACGATGTGACATTTTGTAGTTGGAAATATGATCAAATATCATCGGAGGAATTTGCAGTGCGCTTTCAATTTGCAATGGTTCCTGCTCCTTTAGGGATTGTTGCTTTAGGTGTATACGTGTATCCATTCGCATGGATCCCGAAAGTAACAAAACTTTGATTGCTCTTGTTATCCGCAAGTATGGCACGTGGTATTTTCGGTATTTTCATGAATATCGAAAGTCAGTAATAGCTAAGCGCGTCTCTGCTGTACTCGTGCGCTCGCAGTCTCAGGTTGGCGATACTGGTCGTGACGCTGTACGGGGCGCTCGTCGTGCTGTAAGCTGGTGGCAGGCCTGCAAACACAAAACATCAATAAGCCCAAGCGGCCAAAGCCCGCCCATGGCCCGCCTTGAACCACTTGGCATCTAGGCCGCCCAGGCGCCCACTCAGCATTCTGCGCCGCAAGAGCCCCTCTCTCTCTCTTACCTGCCGCCATGAACGCGCAGGAAGGGTTGGGCTGGTGGCCGTGGTGGCCGTGGTGCAGGAGAGGGGCCTCGGGGTGGACCAGCCCCGGCCCCAGGCTCTGCCCCAGGCTCTGGCCCAGGCTGGCGGCCTCCGCTCCCTTCCATAGCATGGAGTAGTCCGTCATGGACTGGGCCGACTGGGCGTCCCCTGCAACACGCAACGACCGAACTAAATAAACACTTGACGACGCGAACACAGAGCACGAAGCGCGAACCGCGGCCCACAGCAGTGCAGGGTACGGTGTAAGCCCGCGGCGTTTCAATCGCTCCGGCGCTCTCTTTCTCACAAACTCTGCGGAGTGCATGGGTAGGAGGAGACGGACAGCACGACCGCTTGGAATCAGTCTGCTTGGAGCCCCGCGCGGAGCCCCGCCAACACGACAAGTAAGTGCCATAAGTGCGTACCCAGGTGTCGGTGTGCCGTGTCCTGGTCCTGTGGGCCGAAGGGTGCGGTGAGAGCGCCCAGGCCCAGGCCCGCCCCCAGGCCCGCCCCCAGGCCCGCCCCCAGGCCTGCCCCCAGCGGCGACGCCATTGGCGGGGGCAGGGGGGCGGCGCCCACCCCGGCGCCCACCGCGACGCCCACCGCGACGCCCACCGCGACGCCGGCGCCGAGGCCGCAGCCACGACTCGACATGACGCTCCGCTCGTTGCGCCGGAACTTGGCCCGCCGGTTCTGGAACCACACCTGCAGCAGACGAACCACGTTTATTTTCAAACAGCAACAACGGCAAAAGAAAGATATCTTTGTCTGAAGAAAGCCAGCCCACCTGCACGCGCGCCTCGCTCAGCTGCACCCTCCTGGCGAGGTCTTCCCTCACGAAGGCGTCGGGGTAGTGCGTGCGCTCGAACACGCGCTCCAGCGCCGCCAACTGCGCCGAGCTGAAGGTGGTCCGGTTGCGGCGCGGCTTCTGCGAGGACCGCCGCCGCCCGGCCGCGCCGCCCGCGGGGGAGTCCTCATCTGGAAGGAAAGGGCTGCTGCGTCAGTCAGTCGGTCTAGTCGGCGAGATCGGCTGCCTTTGGCTGTTGGCCGGTTGGCGGCCTGCGTCAGGCCTGCTTGGCCTGCTTGCGGTTTGCGGCCGAGGCCTTGCCCGCCCCGCCCATGTGCGGCCCACGTGCCTTCGGAGTCGTGTCGTCGCCCTGTCTCTCTCGCACTCATGGGGCGTCCTGTCTGGGCGCGAGAGAGACGGAGCGACGAAACGTCTCTTCGGAATCGCCCGGCCGACTCCGTGGCGATGCACGGCCAGGCGGACGCGAACAGGCCGCCCTGTTCGGTCGTTAACGCGATCCACATGAGTAGCACCGGAACACTTTACACGACCTAGGCGAACACGGCCTCGCGTGGCGGGGCGGGGCATGGACCAGCAGGCCCAGCCAGCGCGGCGGCGGGACTCAGGGATACCGAGGGATGCATGGAAAAGCCATTTTCAATTCGCCACGACAACCCTCAACGACTCCAACCTGGTCGACAAAAGTGAGACGTCCGCCTCGCCAAGACAGGGCAGATAATTTTCAGCGAAAAGCAGAAGAAAGTGCAAGAGAAAGTGCGCTGTACGTGTGTAGGTCGTAACCCCCTTCTCCTTTCAAAACAACTAAGACTTTGTCCAAGGAAATTTTGATAAATTTTCTGAAGCGAACAGTCGAGGCAGTGCCCTGAAGGGTTGGGTTTGCCTGAGGGGTTTGTATGAGGGGTCTGCCTGACGCTGTGGCACGGGGCAGAACGGCAATTATTGTGGCTTTGAGGGCAAACGAGACTTTTGAAGCCTTCGCTTTCCTTGAAGCGTACTGAGGAAATTCCGCACAGGCTTTGAGGTTGGAGGGACGGGTGATTATGTTCTTCGCTTCCAGGAGAGCGTGTTTGACAACCAGCTTTGCTGTGTTGCTTCATCAAATCCGAAGGGGGTGGGGGAAGAAAGGACGGCGCACGCGGGCAGAGGCGGTGCAGGCAGAGAGGAGGGCGTCATGGGAGGAAAGGTGCGAGGCGCGGGGCGAGGGGGTCACAACAAATTGTAAAGGAAATGGACACTGACAGCAAAGCGACCGTATTTATAGTGGCGGTGCGGCACCTCTCCACGCCGCCAGTAGACTGATTCCGAGAGTCGTCGCTCCGTCTCTCTCGCACCTACACGGGACGCCCCATGAGTGCGAGAGAGACAGAGCGACGAGAACGACTCTCGAAATCAGTCTGCAGGACAGTCTTCGACATGCGCCCTTCGTCGTGGAGATAGCCGTATAGTACCTGCTGCGCAACGATTCTGAACATCGCTTATTCGCACTCTCGTCTCTGTCTCTCTCGCACACTCACCCGGCGTTGCGTGAACAGGTGCGAGAGAGACAGCGACAAAATGCAGAGCGGGCGAAACGAAACGACCCCCTCGTTCAAGTTTCCACTCGGCCGGCCGGGCGCCTCCCGCTCCCGCACACCGTCCTGGGAATTCCCCGAAAAACTGAAAAATAAAATTTGAACTGGCGGCCTTGTTTCTCGTTTTGGCGGGTCGGCGGCTGATGGAGGCATTGCTGGCGCGCGGTGCCACGCCATGCCACGCCGCGGTGCTGCGGTCATTGTGGCCCAAGACATAGTGTTATTTTAAGATTTTAGGAGTAATTTAACGACGGTGTGTTTCAAGTTGTGACAGGCGCGGTTAATGTATTAATAGCGGGGCGTCGCTTAGCGTCGCTTAGCGGACGGCGGCGGACCGGGGCGGCGCCGCGGCGCGCAAGACGGACGTCGCGGCGATCGGGCATAACTTGATCGGCGCAGCAACAGGCAGTAACTTGACTGGGAGGGGAGGCCGGCGCCGCGCCGGCCCGCGGCCCGGGGCGGCATTGGACCGCAGTCCAAACAATGTCACTGGGCATCAACCTCGCGGTGCCTCGCGGTCCCGGGCGAGACGCGGCCGTGCCGTACACGTACACCGTACCGTCACTGTGCTGGGCGCCGTGCTGTCCAGCGCTCGCCGCCTCGCTGCAGTCCGTGGCGCAGGCGGCGCTGCAGGCGGCGTTGCAGGCGGCGGGCCGCTCCGGTTCCAGCAACCGGGTCACGGAGAAGCGGCGGGCGTTGTCCGTGGCGCCGTGCACCGCCCCGCCGGCGGCAGCCTCGCCCGGGTACAGCGCGGCGTGCGCGGGGTGCGCGGGGTGCACGGGCTCCAGGGCGGCGGGGTACCCCATCATGGCAGGCCGCGGGGCCGCCTCAACATCCCGTGGTCACCCTCGTGGCCCCCGGCGGCGCAGCACGGCCGAAGCCTTCGACGGGCCGTAGGGGTGCCGGGACGAGGTGCCCCGACTGCAAACTGGAGGCGGCCGCGGGGACGGCCGCGAGAAGTGCGTGGGGTCCTGGCGCGGCGGGTCGTGCGGTCGCGGTGCCGGGACGGGGTGCTCGCCGTGCTCGCCGAGCTCGCCGTGCGGGAGGCTGTCGACAGACTGGGGCGCCAAGAGGCGAACGCTGTGTTCCCACACGGCCGTCACGACGGGGAGCACGCCGTACCGTACCGGCCGTGCCCCACCGGCCCCACCCCTCCGCGCCTCCGCCGCAGGGAGAGCCTCGGGGTCCCAGGGGAGGAGTCAAGGCGCAGGGAGGGGAGAGGAAGGAAGAGGTTACTAATACACTGATTGAATGCGGGGCGGTAAGATCGGAGGGTTCATGAACAAGTGCAAAACAAGTAACAAAGTATCTGTGATTGTGCCTCTGCCTAAGAAGCATCCATACATCGTCTGGAACTGTCTGGAACGCGGGGTCGTAAGCTTATTCTATTTGCCCCACCGGCCGTCCACGACCAGGCCTTGCTAGATGCTTTTTTCAGGCCACGCTAGGCCACGCGATGCCAGATCCTCAGCCCTTACAAATAGTCCTTACAACTGCATTTGGGTGGTGGCAGAGGCGGGCAGAGGTGCAACGTTTGACAGTGACCCCGCCGCCCGGTCGCGCCTCCAGCCTCACGGTGCTCGAGAAGCGCGGCAATAGCCAGTCAGCCTGTCAGGTGCGAGATAGGCAATCCGCGGCGCTGCCGTGCGCTCGCAAGGTGAGTGTTGCCTACCCGCGGCGCTCTTGTGCGCCGCGCCGCTCGCGGCCGCACGAGCCGGCCGTGAAGCTGCCGAGTTTGAATCTCTCCAACTCGAACTCTATTCAGGCTCGGGTGGCCTTACCAGCACCGCACCTGGCGCACACGTGCCAGACAACTAGACCAGCTCGCCCACTGCCCTTCATCCGAGAGAACTCGTTCCGGGGAAGACGCGCTAACGCAAACCAAACTGCCCTAACCCAATCAACAGCTGTTCGCACTTATTACCTGGGCTGGGAGTAGTCGGCGCGCTCGGTGCGGTGGGTCCCCGTGGTGGGCCGTGGTGGGGCGTGGTGGGGCGCGACGCCGTGCCTCCGACGCCCTGCGTCACTTTGGCCCCGCCCCCGGCCCCGCCCTCTCGAGAGGGGCGCCGCCGTCCTGGCCCGCCCGCCTCGCCCCGCCCGCCCGCCCCGCCCCGCCGCGCCGCGCCGCGCCCCGCCCCACCCCGCACCTTGGCGCCTCCGCAACGGATCTGTTCGGAAATTGGGTGCGAAATGTTGTGGGGTAATTGGGCGGCTGAAATATCTATTGCTTGTATTGAAGGCTGAAATACCGCGGCGTGTGACTCGGCGCGACTCGCCATTGTCACCGTGTTTCAGCCGTAATTGAAGGCGTTGCGCCACCAACGGGCCGCCAGGGCCGCGCAGGCTGGTCGCGCCGTCTCTCTCGCACCTCCACGGGCCGGGTCTCACCTTGAGTGCGAGAGTGACGGCAACAAAATTGTGTTTGGAATCAGTCTGCGGGCAGGACATCATCCTGTCCTTGGCGGTTGGCGATTGCCGTTCCAGAAAATGAGAAAACGAAACCGTGATCGCGTTTTTCCGTTTTTAAAAGTTCCGCGCGTCCCCAACTTGCGAGGCGTCCGTGGACTGAGTAAAGCGCAGTAACGCTGTAAACCGCAGTAAACGCAGTAAACCGCGCAGTAAACGCAGTAACCGGGGTGGTGACAGCGGCCACGGCAAAAACACGCCCCTGCCCGCAGTTGGCGCGTGAGGAATGCGGAGAACGCCAGCGTCGGTGCCACCGTGATGCCCCTCCAGGAGGAAGCACGGCGACCTCCGGTCTGGCCCCGTTTCCCATTCGGGGTGCCTTCGAAGTGGGAGACGGGTCGCTCGTCCCCGTCGTCTCGTCGTCCCCGTGGGGCGGACTGAGAGCGATGGCACCCGAACGCGCCCCCGCCATGGCCCCGCACGCTCGCTGTATGGGTGGCAGCCCCGGAGAATGCTTGGGAAACCAGGAGTGATAATTGTCTGCAACGAAGCGTCCACTTCCAAACACATCGCCAGCCCCATTTGTCAACGCACGGCTGCGCGCCGTGTCTTTCCGATGTTCTTCTCTTTTTTTGCCGTCTTTTGCGTTTGAAATAGACATGGAACGGGAAGTATTTTGGTGACTCAGGCCCAGGCCAATTACGTTCGATGCGCGGGGGTTCGTGTATTTCAGGTCTCTTAGGTTAGTGAGGGGGGGGGGGGAATCGGACACACGCCCAAGGAAAACAACGTCCTCGCCTTTCTTGACGTCTAAGGGACATCAAGATAATGATGACCTTCTCCATTCATTGTTGGGCCATTTCACGGGCCATTCTGACCTCCCAGTGACAATGGTGTTCTCCTTGGGGCTAAGCAACCTAGCAGACTTCTGGTAAAATCTCCCCGCCCCCCGATTCTGCCAATCACTGAACATATATTTCCAAGAATGGAGTTCCCCATTTGTGATTTGGTCGCAGCCCCTTCCCCTCTTTTGCTTCAGAAGTTTTCAAATCTCCTCAAATCGAGGGGCTCGGTCGCTCCGCTCCACTCGGTCGCGCTCATTTTCCCGGGGCGATCCATCACAGCGCTCAGCCCAAACTAAATCGACCTCGAAACAGCAGCGCGGGGGGAGAGGGGCAGGGTGGGGAGGCGCCACCTTGGCATTGGGACGAGGCGGAGGGGGAGGGGGAGCTTCCGGTGAGCGGTGTGCAGTTTTCCTTCCGATTCCTCAACCAAAGAAATTGGAGGGAGGCGAAATTTGGGATGTGACTCTGTCGCTTCGGCAGCCCTAGAAGGCAGCGAAGCGCGGTAAAACAAGGCCCTGGGCCTGGGCCCCTGTCTATTTTTTTCTTTTTTTTTTTTAAATTTAAAATTTCCATCGTGGTGGAAATTTTGGAGCCACAGGAATGGACTTCGCACCGCAGTTGGCATGGCACCCAGTTCTTGTCGACTGTGTACTCGCAGTGTACCCCTCTCGGCCGCGGCCTCCGACCCTGGAAGCACGCCGATGTCCCTCCCCAGCCAGGCCGGCGGAGGCGGCGGCGAGGCACATGCCTGCGCGCGTCTCGCCCTCGCCCGGTCTCGCCCCTTGCCGCCAGTGCCGCCATCGCCGTCACCAGGACCAGCCCGCCGTCGTCGTGGCCGCGCAGCCCTGCGCAGCCCTGCGCAGCCCTGCGCAGCCCGCCGTCACAACCCGTCACGGCGTGCAATCGCTAGCGACGGCCCGCGACAAGCAGCGACAGCAGCGACAGCCCAACGGCGGGGCCCGCAGACCCCCTCCCCTCTCTTCTGGTCCCACCCCGCCCCGCCCCGGCGTCTCTTACTCTCGAGCCAAAAGCGCGCCGGTTGTCAAATCGGCTAAATCGTCCTCTGTCCGCCCCTTGCCGCCTAGGCGCGCCTGGGTGGAGTACGGGCCGCGTACCCGCCCATTCGTTGAAACCGCGGCGCGTGGAAAGGAGTGCGGGTGGGACTTCCCTCCCACAGTGGCGCGGCGAGCGGCGCGCAGCCAGGCTTGTCCGTCTGTCGGAAGGGGGTGTTTTGTCGCACTTATAGCCTACTTCCAGGCGGAAAGCACGGTACCTACTGCCAATCGCTTACCCATCCGACATTCGTTAAGAGTTGACCCCTCCCCCTCCCCGTCCTACTGACGTGGGGTGCCGAAAGGGCGCGAACACCCCCGGGGGAAAACATACATGGGCGCCGACAAGTCGACCGTCTAACGCCGCAACGCCGACGGCGCGGCGGCGTGAACAGTGCGCGGCGCGGCGCTATGCTGCCACATTTTTCTCTTCCACGTTTCCCGACGTTCCGTTTGGCGGCGGTCAAACAAGTCGTGGAAATGGATCGGGTCATCGGGCCGTCGAGCCGCCTTCCATCAGCGTCCCGGCATCCCGCGGGAATATGAGTGGCGCTGCGGTGACGCGACGCCACGACATCATAAAAATACTAATTCTCCCGTCGGCGAACAACCGCGCTAACAGATTATAAGCAGGTGTGAGCCGCGGCGCCGCGGCCTGTGTGACAGAGGAAGCGGTACGCGCGCGCGTTTGTGTTTGTGTGTGTGCGTGTGTGTGTGTCTGTGTGTGTGTGAGCGCGCGCGCGCCGTGTGCCCATCCCGCGGCAGATCGTTTATTTGACCCCCTCCCCCTTCCTCCTAACGCCCCCTGCCCCCTGCGTGTGACTCTCTGGCTTGCACCTTTGGAGCAAACACCATGTTAGATCGACGTGCCATAACGAGGAGCCGGGGGAAAACCATGGGTAGACGAGGAAATTTTTTAGGAAAGTGAAAAGAACGGGATGTTTTTTTTTTCAGCTTCGAGATTCATATACGATCGTATGTATAGGATGGTCACCATCCACTGACATCTTTCCAGATATAGGACATCTCCCTGGCCCTGCGTCGCCCTGCGTGAGACCGTCGTTTGGCAGTTGAGAGTGTAGATACGCGGTGGCGGGGCTGTCAACTGTTGCCGACTTGGAATCCTCCCCGTTTCCCGGTTCCGCCAGGTTCCGCCCCTGTCGGCTGCACCGCGTTGCACCGCGCACCGCGGCTGCCGTGATACGGCCGAAAGATGCCGAAAGGCCCTCCCCGTTCCCCTCCCCCTCCCCCTCCCCCCCCTCCCCCTGCCCGCGGGCACCAGGCCGCCGCGACTCGAGCTGTCCGAACGAGTTAGCTCGCCGCGGAGTTTCGAGCGACGTCCGGACCTCGGGGCCTTCGGTCTGGGGCCGCGTCCGCGACGCCGCCGCGCCGCCGTGAGGGTGTGCTCTGGGCTCCCGCCCCCGGCCTACCCCGACGAGGCGCTCTGCAGCTGCAACCCTTTCGAACGCGATCCGTGCCCCGTTCCGCTTGGGCGGGCTCGCCTCTGCCTGCCGCCTGCTCTGCCTCTTGCCACCGCCACCGGTACTAGGCCAAGACGCCCGCAACCCGCGACGACGCCTTCGACTCGGGACAGGCTTCCTGTGCAGCCGTGCCGACGTGGACGTGGACGTGCCTCGGCGACAGAAACGCGTACCCTGCTAGCCTGAGGTGCTTGGTGCTGAGATCCTGGTGGAAGCCCTTCGCCCCACGCACGCCGGCAGGGTAGCCTGGGCGCTAGAAATGAAAGGCTCGACCAGGGAATGGTCGAGGCTCGCTGCATGGTGTCGAGAGGGTTGCTTTTGCGTTAGCCTGTCCGCCCGCGCGTCACACAGCTGTTCAGCTGGACGGAGGCACGACCCTCCCAGCTGCAGAGCATTTCACCCCCCCCTCCCCATGTGTGCGAGAGAGACGGAGCGACGACAACGATGTGCAAAATTGGTCAACTGTGGCCATAAAGGCCACGCTCGTTGCACGGCAGAGCTCGCAAGCCCTCTACTTTTAGAATGAGGGGGATCCGAGTAGGATGTAGTGCTGCCGCCGCGAGGGTAGGCAACCCAACGTGCTTCTCTACCTCCCCAGTTCCCAACCCTCTTCTCGTACCACATCGCTGCCTTGCAAGTTACAGCCCCCCTCCTCGAGTTGCACTGCATTGCCAGAGAAGCCCCACAAAAGATCTAGATGTCAGAGCTCCTACGCCCTTTACTTGGGACAATCGCTGTTGAGACTCCCTCACGTTCGCGTTCAATGTCCGTGCTGCGTGTTTGAAGAAGTTTGAAGTAAACCGCCAGCAGGAAAACAGTGCCAACTTTCCACCTTATACAATGAGTGTGTGTGAGCTTTCTATTTTGAAAGGGATGTGGCTAGATGGCTCATTAAATACATGAAAGTTTTAGTTAGGTAGCGATAGTTTTTATTGAGAGAAAAAAGAGCTAAGTCTGTTGCTGGATGGACATGACCTTGAACCTAGAGGAGTTTCGTAGTGCGGGCGTGGTGTGACTGATTTTAAAGCACTCTTTTGTTCATGTGCGGATTTTGAATGTCGGCATGCGCGACCAGTTTTATCGAAGTTACTCGATTTACTGTTTAGCAGGGTTGTAAGAAATGTTCGTTCAAGAGAGAGAGAACGACGAGAACTGCCTTCTTATTGCAAAGATTGACAATGTGAAGAATATCAACAGTATTATAAAAGCTCTGAATTTCTCTCAGGTTAGGGTTTGTTGTCACAACATAGGAAATCTAATTTATTAAAGATCAACAATGTTTTGGTTACTTAGAAATTTCATTAAAGCCAGTCTTTTTGTCCGTTTTCTGTCTTTTTAAGTGTGGCATAAAAGTTTTATCCCTGGGAAAAATGTAAACCCCGCTTATTGATGTTACCTCAAAATTGTTTTCTTCATTCATTTCAGGAGGCAGTCTGTTTTTGCTCGGAAGATGGCCTGAAAGTTACTGTGGAAATAGCAAAATGTGTTCAGGCCAGTGCTTTCATTCAACTCGATATATTTCAGGTATGTGATAACTTCGGTGCTTCAAGGCATAAAGAGGCAAATGTTGTATTCATTTCCTCCTATTTTTATTAGGAATATTCTTTCAATGCCGAGGAACAGCTTATTTTTAAAATCGATTTCCATACACTAGTTGAGTGTCTTAACATGTTTGAGGCATCAGGGATGAGTGCAACTGTGGATATGCGTATGCAGGGGCAAGGTCAACCACTACTGCTAATGTAGGTATTTTATAGAATTTAATTTTTTTAACTCTTGTCTCACGTCTCATTTAATGGAATGCAAAATCTATTCTGTAGGTTGGAGGAGGATGGGGTGATCTTAGACAGCAGTATTAGAACTCAAGACCCAGGAGAGATTGCTGATTTTTCTTTTGGTGATGACAGTGTTATCAACAAGGTGCGATCCTTTTCTCACAGGGACATTGTTTACAGTCTCTCTTGTACAATTGTTTAACATTGCCTTTCACCTGCAGATAATCTTAAGATCTGAGTTTTTAAAAGAAATTTTAGATGAATTGGACACAACTAGTGAATTTATAGGAATAGAATTGTCTGGCAGTTATCCTTTCTTCCGATTTTTTATGTCTAGTCGTCTGGGAGAAAGTGAGGTAGGTTTCCAGGAATTACAAAATCTGCTTTTATACTTGTTAAGTGTTTTAAAAAAAATATTGAAAAAAATGTTACAGTATCAAATTGAGAAAACAAGTGATATGATAGAGCATTTTGATTGCAAAGTAAGAACAGCATTCAGGTAAGATTGTCACAGATCAATAATTAATACCCTGATGGGAGTGTTATTTCATAAATTTCCATGAAACATTTTTAGATATCGTTCAGAACACCTGAAGCATACCATTAAAGCTATTGCTGTGTCTCAGAAAGTATCCTTGCGTATGGATGAAAAGGGACTGCTATGCTTTCAGTGCATGATGAAAATGGATGATGGACAGATATGCTTTGTTGAGTTCTTTGTAAGTATTACGTCAGTCTTGTCAAAGTATTCATAATCATAGCAATTCCTCACTTACTTAATGTTTTTTCTTTCATCTTGACAGTGCATACAAGCTACAAATGAGGATGGTGGTTTAGCTGTAATTGAACCTGCCGATGAATACACACTCCCAGAACCTTTCTGATGTTTTGATTTAACACTCCATTTATCTTATCATGAAATTATAATGAAATTATGATGAAATTATTTACCACTAAATTATTATCACTATTTTAAGGGAAAATAAATTTTTATAAAAAAATGACACTTTATAAAGATTCTTGCTGACTAACAGCAATTTTCAGGTCAAGTTATGTATCCTCCATAGGGACAAAGTTTCAGTAACTAACATATATGATTTTGAAATGCATTCTTGAAGGGGTGATGAGTCAGTAAATTCCAGGCCTTCAAGGCGACTCTTTTGCAGTGCCTCTGCCATCTGATGAATATCCTCAGTAGACTTAAGCATCTGAAATTCATGTTGCATCAATATTTATTTTGGGAAAAGAGAATCTTGTTTAAAGTTGTGCAATTTCTGCAATAAAACCTACCTGAACAAAAGCAGAGAGATTGTCAGCTAAAACCTCAATGTAAGATCCAAGAATATTCACAATAGGGTTTTCAGGTTGCGGCTTCACTGCTGGAAAAACTGTATCCATTATAATCTTGTGACATTCCTTAATCTTTTTAAAACTTGAAAGAAAATTTTCTTCATAATCTTCACTGGTTTGTACTGGGCGATCAGCCTGAAAAGCAGAGGAGTCACAGGGAGAATGTTTTATATACAATGCGACAGATTTGCAATGAAGAATAAGGAGCGAGAACACTCACAAAAGATTTTTCATCATCTGAAGATAAATTTGAAGCCAAATTTTTTAACTCCTCTAATCTTGCCAGGGAGTCTGTTAGTTCTTTCTCGTAATCTCTTTTACATACAGTAGATGTAACACAGCGTAAATCAGTAGGGATTAACTTTTGCTTTGTATGTAATAAAGCCTGCAGATAACAAATTGAAGAGTTTAAAAAGTTGCCTCCTCCTACATTTTGAAAAACAATGACATTGACGCAACTTACAAAAAAGTCTTTGCTGTTGGAAAGAGACGAGCATGTCTGTAATGTAACGGAGGCTCGCGTGTTTCTTCCCTTTGAGGGTGACTGTTTCAGGCTCTTGGCTCCCTTTAAAAGCTCCAGCAGTTTCTTCCATAGCACGACTTGCTCTTTGAGTGCTGCACTCCCCTGTAATAAGGCCATACATGTACAGAAGACATATGAAATGTATAACTTGGACAGAAATATACTTGACAACATCAATTCTAATAACTCAGCCTTACCAAAATAATATCGGCCCTCGAACTAATACCATAACTTTTAAGGTGTTCAATCGTTCCTGCAAACTTAATGTAATTACAAAAAATACAAAAAATACAAAAATACAAAGAGGAATGAGGAAAGACACGATAGCACTCACTTTTCTCTGCTTCTTTCTCCTCGCAATTTTGAAAGCGGTCGCGGAGAACAGGGTCCAATTGGCTCAAGCACCACTGGAGAAGATGCACCCTGTCCGCGCCGGCCTGGAAAAGCCAGCCTTCCAATTCGTTGTCGTTTACTTGTCCCAAACCAAAGCTGGCACCTTCCAGCTCCTGCCGGAAGGATCTGATGAGTGCTGCCTGATCTGGTGACATGACTGAAATTTGATAGGGAAGACAAAAAGCAGGGCAAACGCAACAGAAGGAGGTTAAAAAAGTGCAGAAAGTCAACAAACAAAGGTGACAGGGGGACGACAGACGGACGGACGGGTTTTGAGTTGAGTTGCCGCCAATGCCACTGAGATGTTAAAATCCACTGTGTAGCAAGAGGGTTGAAACTGTGACTTTTTTCACCATTGTACAAAAATCTGTTACAGAAACTTCTTAGATAATGTAAATAATATTCAAAGGAATAACTGCCTCCTCAATCCACAGAAATAACATGGTTCTGTCTCATTTTCTCGAAGTTACGTTGGCACTTTTGAATACCGTTGCCTTTGTTTTTTGTTTGTTTACATGCCTAGCTCCAACTTCTAGAAGGCTGCAGACGAGTATGGCGAGTGGGTGTCGCTGCGCGATCCTTGAATGAGGAACATTGTGTGTGAAAAGTGTCAAATTTAATCCCCTTCGTCCAGTGGAAGTTACTATTTTCGAAGTGTTGATCGCTGACTTTGACAGCGAGCAAGGACATCGCCGCCCCCAGTGACAAGTGCTTCGCCGGAAGATGGTTTTCAGCAACCGAGACGCTCCCATAGACGACGAGCTCGACGCCGACCTGTCTGCCTACGTTCCGGGCTGGTCGACACGCAACGGTCCCTTCGATTTGGGTGAGTGCAGAGTGCAGTGCCGTGGACTGCAGTCGCCCTGTGCTGGCAGTGGTCCTACCGCCATGGCGTTCTCGGCTCCCCTTGCTTTCCTCGGAAGGGTCAGGACTCCCGTCTCGGCCTGCCCGTGCCCGTGCCACAGAGAGAGAGGGAGAGAGAGGTTGTCACCGGGCACCGGTCAATTAGTGCAGCTCTCGACCGTGTGATAGCTCCTATCGGGCCAAGGTCCTCCCATCCAGTTTGGACTTCTCGTGCTTTCTGTGGCTTCAAGTGATAATTGTCGGAAAGTGTTTGCCAGTCGCAGACTGTTGACTTCCATTGACTCTGCAGAGCGACTGGGCCGTTATCAACTGTCAAACTGATATTTCACCTCTGAAAGTATTCAACCTGCCCAAGTGATGCTTTTCACTCAAAGTAATTTCTACGTTGTTATGTATTATGTATTAACATAGGTAAGCCATTTTTCTCTGCCCATTCCAACTGTGACTTGACTTGCGGAGCTCTGCGAGCACTGTTGAAGTGCTAGATTTGCACCTGACGACTGATAACCCAGTACACTGATAAGCCATGAGGTTGTATGTCTGGGTGTAGGAGGACCTTGAATAGTTCCTAGCATGTTTTTCTCCTCATTTCGTTCCTTCTGTATTCATAATGAAGGTGATTTGAAAGGCATGAATGGGTTGGCAATTTATGAGAAGGCAGGTTTTTCCTAGGGCTCGGGTACGGCATGAACAGAGTCTTTTGAGTCAGCTGCATTGAGGAAAGACGCAGATCAAAGAATCAAGATGGCCAGGAAGCTTAGAAGACAATGAAGAGAATACTAGGATAGGCTGGGACGGCATGTGAGTCTGTACAGTACAGGCGCTGGCTGATAGCCAGACCGGTTTTCCCCTATCAAGCTCCGGACCACGGACCAGGACCAGTCTTCCCGCTGGGCAGCCGTAGGCAGCGGGCAGCGTCATACCGCGTGGCCGTGGCCGTGGGGTAACGATTACGTGGTGGGCCGGGTCCTGGACGGTACATGTCCTCTGGACGCGTCGCGTCCTGGACGTACCTGGCCGGCTTGGAATCTCCGCACCGCGAGACGGGAGAGGGCCGGCCGCGGGCACACGGCGCACGGCCTGCCGGGCCTGCCGGGCCTGCCCAAGTGGGTTCATGGGCAACGTCCTCTCGCGGCCCCTCCACTCTCACTCCCCGCGGGCCCCTCCTCCTTTGTGTCCTGCCCGTCCCGTCCTGCCTCTCTCTCGCTCCGCTGCGGACGCGCTGCGGCGCCCGCGCCAGCCGCCCCCTTTCCCCGGCACACCAGCACAGGGCACACCCGGGCAACGTCAGCGTAGCGTCAGCGACCTCTGCGGCGGGGCGGGGCGGGGCGGGGCGGGGCGTGCTGCTGCGCCACTGCGGTTCAGTGACTGCGCCATGCCGCCACGCTTTGGCCGGGCTGGGTGGCGCAGAGAGAGATGGAGTGCCCCTCCCAAGCACAAGGCACACACACCTTAGCGCCCCGCCCCACCGCGCCCCGCCCCCCGCCAGGCTGACGGTTAGGTCCGCGGCGTCCGCGGCGGGTCCGCGCTGCCGGCCGGCGCGGCGTGGAGGCGTGCTCGCCGCGGCACCGCGCGCCCGGCGGGCAGTGCGGCTCTCGCGGGCCGCCGGAGAGTACTGCGCCGTACCAAACCGCCACGTGCGCGCCGCGCGGCGTACGTACAAAGACGCCCCAACGCCCTCGGTCGAGCGGGCCGGAAGTGCCGGAGTGCAGCAGGACGACGACGACGTCGACGGCGTGCTGCTGCTGCAGCTGCCGCGGAGTGTCGCGCCCGTGACTTGCTCCTCTTTGACGTGCTCGCTGACGTGCTCGCTGCCCTGCCCAGCACCTGCCGCTCGAGGACGCGTCGGACGCGTGCGGTGGGGGCGTGTGAAATTGGCCACGTTCCGAAGGTGTGTGTGTGTGTGTGTGTGCATGGTGTGATCGGGGGCGAGTGGGAAGCGAAGAAGCGCGCGCTGCCAAATTTGAGGGAGGAAGGCTGCAGGGAAAGGCCATGGTCGGTGACTTGGTGACTTCCTGCTGGCTAGCTGCTGGCGACAGGGGGCCGGTGGCAGCGCCCCCGAGGGTGCCGCGCTCATAGGACAGCCCTTCCTCTTCGCCATCGACCGCCAGCACGTGTTCGACCTGCGTGGGCACGTTCGGCGCCCCTCCGCCCCCTGCGCCCCATGTCCCGTGTCCGCCGGCCGGTGCCGTACCCGTTCTCTTTCCTTCGCGGCGCCGATGGATCCCGTTCTCATAGACCGGCCTACCCCCGCGGCGTTCGCGCAGACTGATTCCGAGAGTCGTTTTCGTCGCCCTGTCTCCCTCGCACTCATGGGGCGCCCCGTTTAGGAGTGAGAAGGCAGTGCGACGAAAATGACTCTCGGAATCAGTCTGGCGGAGTTGCTGCCATGCCCCTGCTGGGCCTGGCTGGGCCTGGGAGCGAAGCGTGGACGTGCATCGGCAGTGCCCAGGGCCCAGCCCAGGGCAACAGAGCGAATGCATGAATGGCGAGCGGGACCAATGGCACCAATCAACGCAAGCCGATGAATGATGCATGAATGAATGCACGGCCGCATGAATGAACGGCGAATGCACGGATGGAGGCGGGATGAAGGACGGCTCGCTCGGGCTGGCCTGGGATTGGCGCCAAAGCCGCGGGCTTGGCCGCAGGGCACTAAATCGGGGTTGAGTCTGGTCGGCCGGGCCGGGCCTCACCGCGTCACGACGCGCCTTGTCGGTGGACTTCCCTCGCGGGTTGACGACTCGCAGACATGACTCAGTTTGCTGCATCGAGCCAAATCCGCACTTGGCTCGCCGTTTGGCTGCGCGGCCCTGCGGCCCCCGGTCCCGTCCAGCCGTTTGGACCACGCAGCCATGCCGCCATGCGCCGGGCTGGGGCCGGGGAGAGAGTTAAATCGGGGCGCAGATAGATAGGGCCTCGATAAGGGCCGCGTCCCGAAGCGGCCAAGCGGCCAAGCGAGGCCACAATCTAAAGAGTCGCCGCCGCCGGCCCCGCGGGGCCCTGCAGTGTGCCCTGCAACGTGCCCTGCAACGTGTCCTAGAAGATGAGCCAGCCGTTGATCCTGACTGGAGCAGGCCGCCTGCGTCTGCCTTGACCTGTAGGGATGCGCGAGGAAAAGGGGTGGGGGGCGTGGCGGAGTGCCAGTGTACTGTATACTCGTCCCAGCGTAACCTTTCCAAATCACTCCGCCAGTAGCCAGAGAACAGAAAATAGTCCCGCAGGTAATAGGATTTTTAAAAACTAATAATCAATTCTAGACCGTTGCGATCGTAATAAATCGTATAAGTAAACAACGTTGAAAAAATACGAACAATCTTAGACGTAATCACTAAGCATTCCGGGTTCTGCATTTCCGCGGGCAGACGACGCGCCGGTCCGAGCCCCTCAAAACACCGGTCTCTAGGACCCTCTTTTTGCACTAAATTGAGTGACTGAAAGAGATCATAATGACAGCTTGCATTTCTCTAACCTAAGACGTTGTTGTATGCCCAGCTGGCCCTTGTCTTTCGAAATTGTGCCTTATTATTCAGAAATTTTGATTTGAGTGCACAAGGCTGGCTTCTCCTCTAGACCGAGCTCCCAACTTTTTAGATTATCTTTGAGCAAGTGAAGAGATTTAATAAAACTGCTTATATCAGTGAAAGCCCCACACATTTTTGTCTGCCGGAATCGCCTTTATTTTGCGAAACTTTGCCTTCTTCTTTAGATATCCCGGATTTTGTGCGCGAGGGCGGCTTCTCCTCCCGACCGAGCTCCCGACTTTTTAGATTATCTTTGAGCAACTGAAAGAGATTCAATAATAACTGCTTATATCAGTGAAAGCCCCACACATTTTTGTCTGCCGGAATCGCCTTTATTTTTAGAATCAATACTTATTTCCTGAGGATTGTAAAATAAAATGCGCCGATTTGGGGAAAAGACGGACGAGGGGCTACTTTCGGAAAGGTTACGCTGGGACGAGTATACTTCCCCTGGAGGCTCGCGCCAGGGGCGGGGCCGGGCGGGGCGAGGCGGGGCGAGGCGCGAAGTCGACAGGACGGCGCACTTCCGCGTGTTTTCGGCCGGCCGTTTCGCCTTATCGAGGGAAGGTGACCCGAAAGTCCAAGTCGTGGCGGCGCGGTACATCGATGCCAGTCCCGCAGGTGGTCGCCGACGCCGTATTTCCGACCGGAATGGAATGGCGCGCTGCCGGCGTGGCCTTTGGGTTTTGAGTGCGTGTCGTGGCGTCAGCGCTGGCCGGTCAAAGTCACCAGTGCTGGAGGGGCTGCTGACACGGCGACGCCGTTTCGCTACCACCGACTGAGTTTACTGAACGCGCTTCCGAGCGGCTGACCGTCATTGGGGTGTTTTGCCGCAGCCCCCGCAGCCCCTCCCCCATGTTAGGCTGGCTCCCCGATGAGCGACGGGTCCCGGGGCAGGGCCGAGCACCGCGTGGAGCACTGCGTCATAGACATGGACTGTGTGGACTTGCTGGACGTGGACGACTTTGGACTGCCGGACGACCTTCTTCTCGACGATCTGGGTGAGTCTGTGGTGCCGGGCGTGCGTGGGTTTGGGGCGGTTGCGTTGCGCGTGCAGAGAGGGCTGCGCACAGTGGGCCAGAAGACCGGCGGTCAAAACTCATCCAGACATCCAGACGCGTTTTGAGCTCCAGAGTCGCTAAACAGGACTCGAACCGAGCGTGTGATCCATCAATGGACTCCTCGCTCGTAGAGAATCAATGGTGGGTCACACGTGCGGTTCGAGTCCCATTTTAGCCCTATTTGAGCGACTCTGGAGCTCAAAACGCGTCCTGGATTTTGACCGCCCCTGTGCTGCGCGGTGCTGCGTTCTTCGGCGTCCTTACACGCTCGCTGCACGTTATGCTGCTCGGCGTGCTCGCCATCGGCCACAAAGGATCAGCGCGGACACTGGCTTCCTGTCCGAATAGCACGTAAATTGGGCCGCGGGTCGGTGCTCACACGCCATCCGTCGACTTCGGGGTCTCGTCATGGACGCGATGCACGCCAAACCATGGCAAAAAAATGGGGAGCGCGGCGGGGAGTTTGGCCGCTTCCCTGCAGGGACTGGATGTACGAGCCGCGGGAACCCGTCCATGAACATGATTGTGTCAATGGGGCACCAGCCACGCATTTAGCACTTTGCGACGGGCAACGTTCGTTCCCTCGCGCTGTTGAGACTATGAAGAAAATGCCCCTGGTTACATTGCTAGATGTCATCGCAGCGCCGTGGTACCGTCCTCATCTCGTAAAACAAGGGACAAGGGTTCGCGTCCTCTTTGCCTGAACTTTTTTTTGTGCGACATTTTGGCCCATGTTAATCCAAACAGCTGACCCATTTATTGGTGTAGCAAATTTTCACCGAAGGAAGGCAAAACTATTAGTTGCCTCAACTAATATGCATGCTGCGTAAGCCAATATTCAGAAGTTGTAACACCTAACAAAATAGCTAGTCCTGCTACAGTTTGGCTGTGCCACCTAAAATCTCCGGTGGCGCCATACCAGCCAATACATTAGCTGCCTCAGCTAATTTTTAGCTGGGCTAGCAAATCCATTTTTTTCCGTGCAAAACTCATCCAGACATCCAGACGCGTTTTGAGCTCCAGAGTCGCTAAACAGGACTCGAACCGAGCGTGTGATCCCATCAATGGACTCCTCGCTCGTAGAGAAATCCAATGGTGGGGTCACACGTGCGGTTCGAGTCCCATTTTAGCCCTATTTGAGCGACTCTGGAGCTCAAAACGCGTCCTGGATTTTGACCGCCCCTGTGCTGCGCGGTGCTGCGTTCTTCGGCGTCCTTACACGCTCGCTGCACGTTATGCTGCTCGGCGTGCTCGCCATCGGCCACAAAGGATCAGCGCGGACACTGGGCTTCCTGTCCGAATAGCACGTAAAATTTGGGCCGCGGGTCGGTGCTCACACGCCATCCGTCGACTTCGGGGTCTCGTCATGGACGCGATGCACGCCAAACCATGGCAAAAAAATGGGGAGCGCGGCGGGGAGTTTGGCCGCTTCCCTGCAGGGACTGGATGTACGAGCCGCGGGAACCCGTCCATGAACATGATTGTCGTTCAAGTCGGGTGCAGGCCCGTCCACGCCGAGCTAATCCTCACAGTCTTGCAGCGCGCGCCGTGTGGCCGCGACGCGCCTCGTCCTGGACGACGAGAGCATGGAGGTCGCCGCCAGGACGCCGCCAGGACGCCGCCGTGCCCCGGGTGGTGCCTGGCCGTGCCTGGCCGTCGAGACGACTCGAGAAGTGGCCGCCGTATTTGCGTGTCGCGGCGGCGCGGCGCTACCTGTCGTGACTGTTGGAGCCGCGGGTCCTTTCCGTCCTTGACGACTCTGATAAGGATCCGAATACAGAGCGACACGTCCAATAACAACGCGATGCACTTTTTAGTGGGTCAGCATCCGCAGCGTGTGCCCGCGGCCACCGTGCCATTCATTCTTTTAGGCGTCATTTGTGTGTGTTTTTTTCCCGCTCCCATGTTTTATTTTTGTTTCGGCGGCGGCATTGTTTTTATCGCTCATCTGCGGGTGGCCGCATGGCGTGCTCGGCGTGCTCGTCAGCGCGGTGGTTATTGGGGGCGGGGGGCGAAGGTGCCCGCATCGTACATGGCCAGCCTGCTCGCTCTGCTTGCACGCCTCGTTACACTCGGCTTTCGTCTTATCCGACGCCCGACGAGACAAGCTATCCATGTATACGTGTCCACCGCTTGTGCCGCCGCGGCCCGCCTGCCGCCTGCCACGTGTGTTGTTCGAACGTTCGTCGTCCAGCTCGCGCGGGCCGAATGCTTCCCCGTGGTGGCTGCCTCGCGGGCTCGCTCGCGGGACCTGCATGTTAGTGGCCACAAAGTTGTGCCAGTACCTACAAAAAAAAAACCAAAAAAAACTTTTTGCCTGTTATCCGAACTGCTGACTGGTTGGCTCAGGCTCACAATTGGCATTTCTGGACCATTTGGACTTTGTCCATTCTTCCCGGGGGGGATCCGAAAAAACGGAGTCATTTTTACTGCGGCTCCACCGAGAAGGGTTCAGGGAACTGCACTTCTTGTGCACCCTTAAGGCGCCTGCGAGGTAGGCCGCCGGCCCGGCCTGCACGACAGCGGTGAAGAGACGGTGGCCTACGACGCCCCTGTGAGGCGCGAGGTAGGCCACCGTCTCTTCAGCCGTGTCCTGCTGCCCGGGTCGGTGGCCTACCTCGCAGGCGCTGAGGGCCGCTGCCTGCCGAACCCGAGGGGGAAATCACTCTTAAAAACTGTCACCCGACTACTCCCTATTACGTTCTATTACGCTATTACAGAAGGCTTATTACGCTCGAAATTATCCATATTTGGGCTAAAATCAGACCCTAAATAGGGAAAATTTTAAAAAATTTGGGTATTACGCTATTACTATTACGCGTAATACTAGGAATCGGTGACCCGACTATTACGCGAGTGATTTCCCCCTCGGCCGAACCCACTCGATGAAACATCGCTTGCCAGGGCGGCGTCGAGGACTCACACGGGTGCCCTCGCGAGCCACCTCCTGGCTGCCGTCTCCTGGCCCGACAAACCCTCATGCAGGCAGTGCGCTTATCGACTGGGGAGCCCCAAGTATTGAGCGAAGTATTGGAAACGCGGCCGCGGGCTCTTGCTTTGGCCCCTTTGGCCTCGCAGGCTGGCCGTTGGCTCTGTCCGCCAGCAGGCAAACTGGCCGCGTTCCGGCGGGGAGTTCCCGCCCCCCTGGCCCCCGGCCGCACGGCCTTATCGCGGGGCACGTGGCCGTGGCGCCGCGGAGCGGGCGGCCGGGGTGGCTTGTGGCATTGTGACAGCTGCCTATAGGCGCGTTCAATGTGAGGCCTAAAGTTTAGGCCCTAAACCGATGTGCCGGCCAGTGCCGGCCAGTGTGCTTGCAGGGACGAGCTCTCGAGTCCGCAAACGGAACTCGAATCAAAATCAAACCTGTGCTCGTACCGCAGTTGACTCAATCTCACTCCAAAGGCAGCCGTTTTGTGCTATCGCGTGTTTGGTTGGATGCTCCGATAGGGCCCCCAAAAGTGCCCACAGCTGGCCGCCTGGTTCTGCTCCGCCTGTTTTGCACTCGTGAGGCGTTCCGCAGAGGCGCGCGATGGATCCTTACACTACCCCTGTGTAAGGCCTCTGGCGCGCGTCAGTGACAGCAACGTAAGCACTGTCCTGAGCGACGCCTGTCCATACCCCATCCGGGCATCGACCGGGTAGGGCCGCGTCGTCGCTCTCCGCTAACCAGGTTGCGTGGCCCCGCGACCCATGCCGCGACGTTCCGCGGACCGCAAGGCGCCGTACAGTGGGCCAGGAGACCGGCGCAGGCGGCCGGAGCTGTAGACGGCGTTTTTAGCTCCAGAATCGCTAAACGGATATCGAAACGAACGCGTGACCCCACTAATGGATTCCTCGTTCGGAGAGCAATCCATTGGTGGGGTCACACGTTCGGTTTGAGTCCCGGTTAGCGACTCTGGAGCTCAGAACTTGTTCGGGATGACCGCCTCCGTCGGTCTTTTGGCCCACTGTGCGCTGTGGCGCGGCGTGCGTTGGCCGCGGAGCGCGAAGCGTGGCACGCCGCCCAGTGCGTGGGACGGGGCGGTGCGAGACTCGGGGTCAATGTCGCGCCCGATGAAGCTTGTCGGTTTTTTTCCCCGCTGCGATGCGAGTGTGCGGATACACGATAGAATCGATGACGCGTCGACGCGTCCACCAGGAGGGCCTCGCCAGGCCTCGCCTCTCCCGGCGCGAAGCCCACCCCGGTTACATGCGCTGGAGGTAGGAGGTGAGAGCAGCGGGAATTTGGTGTATCGCTGTATCTCGGCGCGAAGCCCACCCTCGTCGTCACAGGGCCCTTGGCGGCCACGGCGCTCTTGGCAAAAGTGCGCACGTGTGCTGCCTCGGCGTCGCTCGGCTTGGCGCAGGAGCGCCCCGCCAAGAGCTTCGAGGGGGCTCTCGACTCGATCTCTCGAACTCCCATGGAGGCGCGCAAATCGACTAAGGCCTCAGGAATGAGTACCGCTACTGGTTGCGGTGCCCACTTCAAGAGCGTTTCCTTCACCCGAGAGCATTTTTCTGCCAAGAGTATTTCTTATCCATTTTCTGAATCCACACCGCGGGGTACTTGCGACGTCTCTGTCGCACCCACGGCGGCGCGGCGACTTGGCGTGACGCCACCACACCAAGCCGGCACGCGTGCGGCGTGCAGCGAGTTCACCGAGGCTCAGGCGTGCGGTCGCGTGGCCGACACTGAAATATACTCGATGTTCCCGTTGCCCGCTTCGCACTTCCGCGCAGAAACCGTCGTCTGCAAGCACCCTCGGCCAGGCCATGGCCAGGCGGAGTGGTTGAGTCCCCTCCCTCTCACCTCTGCGTCTTAGGAGAGGTTGGTCATGGTCAGCCCGTGCGCCTGTCCAAAGGGGTGGCGGCAGGTTGGAGGGGGAAGGCAGAGGGAATGCCGGGCCAGTGACCGGCGCGCTTAGACAGTCGAAACAAAGCGGGTATGCGTGCGGTGTGCGGCACTGTGGACCAGAAGACCGCTGGAGGCGGCCAAATTTGAGCTCCAAAGTCGCTAAATGGGAACTCTAACGAACGAGCGTGTGACCACACCAATGGATTAATCTCCGTAGGAGATGGGTCCCTGTCCAGTGTCTCACTGAACTAATTTGCTATCTTTATTCGTGTTTCAGATGTCGACTGTCCCATTCCTCCGGACTCCGATATCCTCCAACAGTTTCCAAATGATTTGGAAGTGAGTGCTCTTTGTGTGTTGCTTTTTCACCTCAGTGCGCTCGAGGCACTTTCTTGTTTCATTGTGCGAGTTTTGTTTTACGACGGTGCTAATTTTGTCGACAGATTCCCATGCTGCTGGATGACTCGCCAAGCTACGGCTCGGACGACCCCTGCCGCAACTATGTCCTGGACCCGTTTCTCAGTGGCCTGGACGATGCCTCGGAGTGGGGCCCGGACGCGTTTCCCAACCTGAGGCCAGCCACTGAGGATGCAGCGCGTGAGTAGTAGACTTGAATTTTGGCCAATTTGTTTCAATCATTTTTTTAAATATTTTTTTTTTTAAACTAACTTATGCATGATTGTTGATTTTAGCTGTGCTCTTGAACGACATTAAAGAGGAGATAAAGGTTGAGCCAGACTTCCCGCCTTCTCCTCCTCCCTCGAGCGCTGGCTCCACGTCCAGCTTGTGCAGCACGGAGCTATGGCCAGCAGCCGGCGCGCCGGCCACCCGGGGCCAGGGCCAGGGTCAGGGCGACGCCAAGGTTAGATTTTCATTTTTATTGCCCAGTTTTCCTGCTAAACTCGTGTATTTGTGATCGCTTTCTTTAACATTGCAATTGGGGACTTCCTTTCTCAATGTTTCAGACAATAGAAGTGCAACCCCTTACTCCACCTTTTATAGACAACAGTCCTCCAGAGTCTCCTGAGGTGATAAGTGAGTTTATCTCAGTCAGTAACAATGCAAATACGCCTTCTCCAACAAGTTCCCCAGCTCCTCATGTTTCTGAAGCTCTTGTACAAATAATGCCGTGTGGTGAGTGATTTCATTGCTTTGCTCCTATCGACAACTCATTTTCTAATTTAAAAAAAAATATATTGTTTAATGATGCCATTGTATTTTGTTGTAGGTCTCAAATTAAAAGCCAGTAAGCAAGTGACCCTATCACAGAGACCAGCACCTTTCTTAAAGCCCAAACCCAGTGTTGAACCATCATCAGAGAACACACTTAACACTTCTGTCTGTAAGGCAACACCTGCCACTGTGAAGACTGTAACATTACCTTCTTCAATTCCTGTTGCAGGAGGTAAGGCATTTTCATTTTCATAATTGTGTCTGGGATTAATGCCCTGACATCTCGTTTTAATCTGTCTTTCCTTTTTAAAAATTATTCCAGACAAAAGAAAGACAATTGTTCTTTCTGCTAAGGATTTTGCCGCCCTTACACAAAAAGTGAGAGGCAATCAATCAACATGTACTATTGGTGTCATTAATGGCACAAAGACTGTTCCGACAACATTGAGATTACAAACACAACCTACTAATAAATGCGCAACAGTTCCCCCCACATCTACTCAGCAACTTGTGGCACCAATGGCGGTAGCCTCTACGGGTCCAACAGCAGTTCCTACTTTTGCTCAAGTCATAACACCAGGCACAGGGCCTGCAAAGGTACCCTTGATACCATGCCAAACCATTACTAACTCATTGCCAGCTGTCGCCACTATTCCTGTCTCTGCCAATGCTGTCAGACCTTTACAGTCGTCTGCCTTCTCGGTCAGCAAGGCCTCATCAAATCCAGTCAAAAGAGAAATGGAGGTTAGCACTCAGAGCTCTTTTATTCTTTTTCTATATATAACCATATGTAACTTGTCTTACTGAAACATCTTCTTTTGTGTCTTGATTAGATGAAAGCCATCAAAAGGCAGCAGAGAATGATAAAAAATCGGGAATCTGCATGTCTATCACGCAAGAAGAAGAAAGAGTACGTGTCATCACTTGAAGGAAGATTATCGGACCTGGAACAAGAGAATGTTCAACTGAAGCTTGTAAGTCTTTAATTTGTATCTGTGTCATCTGTCTCAGCTAAGAAATTTTCCTGAAGCTCATTAAATTAATTGTTTTGCAGGAAAATGAAGTTCTCAGAGAACGCCTCAGTGAGTTTGAAAATGCCATGTCTTGGACTAAAACACCTGCCTTTTCAGTGAAGACAAAGAAAGCAACGGCCCTTCTTGTAGTCCTCTTCATGTTCTCTTTACACTTTACATCTTTCTCGTAAGTCGACCATCCTACCAGACTGTGACTGTAGTGTGCATTCCTCATCTTTTGCCTCAACTTAAATTATTTACATATTTTTCAGATCATCAGTGAGCAAGAATAATGAGCCACTCACCATGAGCAGTTTAGATGTAGGTGGAGGGCAGAGTCTCCCTGCTTCCATGACTCGACAAGGACGTTCTTTATTGTGGGCACCAGCTGCTGACATATCAAGTAACAGTACAGGCTCAGAATATCTCACAAGGAATTCTACTGGCACAGGGTCTGCCCAGCCTATTTGTCCTCTATATATTAACCAAACAGAGTCTATAAGGTATAACATTTGTGTTGCTTGTGTTCCTCCTTACAGTTTGCTGCGTATTTAAGACACATTTAGGATTTTGAATTTCTGTTTGCCTCTATATTTCAGGCTCGACAGTGAACTGCGTCGCTGGATTGGGTCAGATCCTGAGCACCCTTATGACCAGACTCAACAAGAAGCTCTTAAATCCAAACATTTTGACAATAACAAGAATAGACCGAACTACAAGTTGTCTGAAACCTCTCAAGAACAATCCGTAGGAGCTGCCAGCAATATGGCTGCCATGCCCTCAACAGAAACTAAATTTGACAATGGCTTCAAAGATAAACGCACTAAATTGCGCAGAAAGTCTCTTGCAAACAGGTATTTACTTTTTCTTGAAACTGTTCTACCATTGGCAACCTCTTTTTTTTTCTTCACTCAAAATTGTTTTTTATTTATTTTTTAATCAGGGCTTCAAAGAAAAGTGCGAATGCTATAAATGAGGTGGAAGTATATGGAGTTCGACCACCTCTCTATGATTACACAGCATTTTTAGACTCTTTCCAACGACGTGATGACACATTTTATGTTGTTTCATTTTCTGGTGATCATATTCTTTTACCAGCTCAGGCTCACAATACATCCTCAAGACCCAAAATGTCCCTTGTCCTCCCAGCGGTCCCAATCAACAGTAAGTTCACTCACCACCACCAAATTCATTTATTGAAATCATTTATCAATATTTTAGCTCATTACTTATTCATCTCTTATTTTCAGAATCAATGTTTGGGCTGAATCATATCAGAATGATGCAGATTGATTGTGAAGTGATAAATACCCAAATGCTGCACGTTCGCCAAGATGATATACCAGCCCATATGCGACCCTCCGCATTCGACCGCTTTTCCAATGCTTCAACTGAAAATAGTGGTTCTACAGGGAATGATTCTTCATCTACCTCCTCTCCATCTGGCAATATTGCTTCAAGATCAAGCCCATCATCAGAAACCTTTCACAACTCATCGCAGACAGAACAAAATTCCCCTTCACCTGTACAACCTTCATACAAGCCTTATTTTGTAAAAAATGGTTACCGAGAAAGACTTCTACTGTCACCCTCCCAAATTGAGAAAATGAACACAGCTTTCCTAAAAGGCAGGAATGTAAACCAACAGCGTAATGAGGTGAACAGTACCTTAAGCGCAGAAAGTAAACCTTCAAAATTAGGCGACTATCCATAGAAAATTACAAATTATTTATGCTGTTCATATTAACTGGTTGGTTATTTTATACAAGGCTGTGATCTCCAAGGACATCTGTGTTTGTGAGTAACTTCTATAATTTTTCAGGATTTTGTATGATCTCTGTACTTTTTTTAGACCTTTAGGTTTAATGTGTTTCAAATGCGTACTGTAGGTTGTTGATGTACAAATTTCATTCTATGTTAAGAGTCGCATTTGTCAAAACTAGTTATAAATTAACCCATATCAAATCACAAAAGGAACTGAGTTTAGTAGCTGTTATTATGTGGTTACATATAGAAAAATACCATTTCTGGATTAGGTACCTATCTTGTCCGCATTTTCCTACTAAATGATTGTGTTCCATCAATGTTTCAGAGATAAAATTGATAGGTTTAGGTTTTTATTTCTGGTAACCAGATTTGCACAATTATGCTGTCAAATACTGCTCGTGTGCTCTGTGAAGTAATTATGTTCAGTTTTTGGACTTTGATTTTTAATCTAATTCCTTGTAGCTCAAATTTTTCTAATTTTGTTTGGTTCTGGTTTTAATTTTGCACCAACTGGCACTCACATAGTTTACTTGTGCTTTTATTCTTCTTTTGGTGTTTTATATTATTGAACATTGAGTAAAGAGCCATCCTTCATGTATGCCAGCTTCTTATTCAATATCAATGTTTCTACTTTTTTCAAATTACCTCTGATGAACAAAATTTTTTTTATAGAAATCTTCATTTGACTTCATATGAACTGTAATTTCCAGTATTACATTGGTCTAGTCGTGACACATGAAGTCCTAGTTCCCTTGATTTGGAGTTTGCTTTTTTTTCTTTAATGAGAATAAAACAAGAAACAGGATTTAGAAACTTGGTTGCTTTGAGTTGCATGATTAATCTACTTACTGTAGAAAGCTTTATGTCTCATTACATTCTCATTTTTCTCCATTGTTTCCCCAGATTTTTTCTATCTTTATAAATGTATGTAAATTTTTATCTCCTGTTATTGCTTCTGCACGGGTGTTAATAATGTTTGTTCTTGTAGCTCTTATTTATTTAGGGAACCTCTCTGACCACTCAAGCACAAGTACCAGAGTCCGGTTCATAAATATGTGTAGCAAGTATTCAAATCATTTAAAGTGTGTTTTTTGTTTTAGCTTTTTTTTTGTATATTTATTGTTGTTTACTAGTCTGTTAAAATGCTCTTTGTTAAAATGCAATATCATGCATTTATTTTGGGTGAGGAGTAGTAATAGTGAAATTTCGTGAAGCATATAATTAAGAGGTATTGCTATTACCATGTTTTTCTTATTGATTATAACGAGTAAAGATGTACATCTTTTGAGTTTGGCATAGTACATTGTAAAATGTAATGGTTCATAGAAAAAAAAACCTTGCCATTAGTGTTAAAAATGATCAGTTGAACGGTGCTACATATGACTGACAGCACAAAATTGATCAATGAAAAAAATAATGAAAGTGTGACCAAGTCTAAAGTTATTTGTTCCATCTTTTGTACTTTTAGAGCATTTTCTATTCTATGTAATTGTTGACAATATAATGATTGCTCAGTTATGTTAGTGGTGGTTGTGTGTTTTGCCAGCACTCTTGAGTTCGTCTGCCTGATTTTGCACACCATAGAATCAAAGATAGCTAGAAGCAGCTGTGTATACATCTTGTACAAATTTGGATATAAATTTATAATTATGTAGTTGGTTAAGTTTTTGCAAAGTGAAGGTCAAAAAGTCCAACTTTTTCACCTTAAACTTTCTTTAGTACAATGGCCAAATGCCCCTTAATGTGCAATCATTGTCAGTGATTTGTGTAACAGTATTGTTGATTTGTATGCGAGCTTAAAAGAGGATATTAAAATGAGGAGAAATACCTATAAAACTTTTTTTATTGATGCAGAAACATCTGATCACAGAAAATTGACGTCTGGTAAAATTGATTAAGTGTAATGCTGACACCATTGGATCACAGAACAATAATACAGTCACTCCATGGAATGTAGACCATCATTGAAATTTGATTTATTTCAAGTCAGGAGTGGAAGACCCAAGGTATACTCGTAAATCATCTATAGTAGACTTGATCAGCTTAGCAGGTATCGTCTTGCGCCCAAGTCTCTTGTGGGCAGTATACCGGTGACAACCACCAAATGAATAAAAGTAGTTGCCCCCTTCTCTCCCTTCAACCCAAAGAACATCAACAGGGGGCACATTGCCAGATTTGGAAGGATCCTGTAAATATGGAAAAGTGAGACTTTGCAATGTTTCACAATGTTGCAAAATACATATATACCACAAAGTAGGTGAAACAATCATGTGGTTAAACCAAAGAAACATTCCTACCTTTAAAGTTTCCATGAGACTGTGGACTTTTTCATTGTTGACTTCCAGTATAAGCGGACGGATGATAACATCCATGGGGATATCTTCGACATCCTCTATGTTACGTGAGTGAACTGTTGATCCGTAATCAGTTGACATTTTAGCTGGAACAAGCGGTAATACACGCATATCGCTCCTTTATTCACAGTATGAAATGTATTCAAAGCAGTGCTGACGTGTTGATGTTAGTATTTTGGTTTTCAGTGAGACTTATGTAATTAAACGAAGACAATGAGACACTGACAAATAACTACAACTGTTTCATCATTACCTGCAGCTCAAGTACAGGAGACTCCCTTGTATCAATATAAAAAATAGTTTTATCGCCAGTCAAGAAAGCAGAAAAACTTTTACCTCAGTCTAAGTTGGCGCCAAATGTCCAATTAGAAAAATAAGAATAGAGAACTTCCCTGCGGGGAGAGGTTAGAAGGGGAGAGGCAGAAGGGAGTCATGGACTACTACCTACCATGAAGAATTCAGTGCTGTGTTACATTAGTTTGTTTTATCTTTCAGCACTCAATGTCCAAGTTTTAGTGGCCCCGGGCTTGTTTACAACCAAGCCCAGGTCATCTCTTGGGTGTATCCCACGGCTACGAAAAGGAATAAGAAATTGAGACGAATATTTGGTTTGTCCCCGGGGATGTCAAATGGGTGGCCTATCCGCCTGGCACCCAGAAGATAGGCAACCCATCTGGCACGTTCAAGTGCTCATCGGATGACGAGTATAGATGCATTGAGGCTCAAGAGGAGTGGCGTTACCTACGATTTTCTTTCGAAACCAAAGGTTTCACACTTTCACAAAAGAACAAAATCAGATAGACATGTGTATTTTTTTTATTTGAGGATGAGATGACAAATGGAGGGTACAGGTAGTTAACAAAATGTTACAATTTATGATTACATTTATTTAACAAGACAATATTTGGAATGGCGCAAGATTTGTCTTGATAGCCAGCATCATGTTTTTACAGATATCCTTGAATCACACATTCCATCAACCATGTAGTTTCCATAACAAGACCATTCAAATAAAGAATAAATGGTAAGATGAGGAAAATGAAAACTAATCTAAAGAAAAAAAGTGATGCAGAATAAAAGGGAGGAAGACAACAGAAATTGTCAGATCCAAAGTCTTGGGATTAAAATCAAGCAAACCATTTCACAAGCCCAATCTAGGCCACAAGAAATATACAAAGTCTTCCATAGAAGCTTATATCGCATGAAAAATTCTGTCATGGTGATATGATAGTTGTGACCCAACATAACAGGCATATGACTTGTCTTAGCTTTGATCAACTAAAGGCCCTTTTTATTTAAAGAAGGGAAAAATCAATCGAATGGACTAAATGTTTAACATTACTTGGAAATAAGTATGTAGTCTAAACATTAAGTCCCATCTGTAACATTGAAAATCTCAGCTGTCTCAAAAGTACAATAGAAGAAGGAATGCGGTGAACAAGAAGGATACAAAGACCATTCCAGAAACAAAATCAACTGCCTCTATTCAAATAAAAATAACCTTCATCACAGATTCATGCCATGGAAAAGAACACTCATGAAAACTCCACACACACACCAAAGATTCTCTTTGTGATTTGCTGTGCATATATACAACATACTTGTAGCGCTCCGAGCTCAGTCTATTCCATTTGGGAATTTAAGGTAATGAATGAGCATGAATACGTCAGTTCATATAAGTTACTGACTGAATGAATGAGTGAAATTCAACACAGCTTGAATAAAAATAAATTGTCAAAGTTTCTCATTATCTTAGTGAAAGGAGGGCAAAACTGCTCAGAAAATTCAGTTCCTACATGAGGCAAAATTGGATGAACAGTGATGAGAAGTCTCAAACCTCTATGACATGATTCTAGGTTTAAACTTAGTTATTACAGCTTCTGAACCACTTTCAAGTAAAGATAGGGTTAATAGTACTTGATGTTGCTGATAGACTTTGCAAATACTTGGCCTTTCAAGTATAATAAAAAGTGTAAAAGTTTGAAATACTTAATTTATCACTTGCCTCATTCCTTCTAGTGCACATTTCAGCATTCAGTTTAATTTTGACAAGCTCTTAGACTGATCAATTAATTGTATTATTTAAGTTACAAATAAAGACGATTTTGCTGTAGAGTGATCAATGTCTCTTCTAGAGTTAACAACCCTAGAAATCTGCTGAAAACTTCAGCAAAACTTTACTCTATCATCCCGCGGTTCCTCTGAAATATTTCCTGTCTTGTTTTATCTTGTTTTGGTCCATTTGTTAAAATTTAAATAGAATTTCTGTCCTTAAGTTAGACATTGAAATTCAAACAAACACTGCTTTCCCTGCACCAGATTGGTGAATAAACAAGCCAATTATGCAAACCTCCTGCAATGCAGATAGGTACAAAGGCAGTGTTCAGTGTTTAACAAAAGCACTTAAGTTCTCAAGGACACAAAAGTTAGCAACAATATTTGCCTAGTGCTTGTGACACCTACAAAATTGTTTAACAATTAGTGACCTGTACTACTTTATCAACAAGGAATGTTTGAGGATCTACTACACACGGTAGCGCAGCAAGATGTAGCAACGCATTCCAATTGTATTGTGTCGGAGCACTTACGGTAACTACAAAGATGATTTATAATTTTGTCTGTACAACTTGATGTTAACCTTTGAAAACATTAACTCACACATTTAATAAAACTTAAATTGAAGTTTTTAACATTCTCCAAGCAAATGAGTTATATGGGAGTCAGTGTAACATTAGGTTAACATTACGTGAAGGCTATTTATGTTCTATTTCTAAGAAAGTGAAGACCACAAGTGCTGATTTGAATTGGCTTTCGTTACATCAGCAGTATATTTTTACATTCTTTAATGTAGCAGGGCTACAATATATAACAGTTATAATTTAAACTTAAGTAAGCACCAAAAAGAAAAGGAAGATTGGTTTTTAATGCAAACACAATTTAATGTCTCTGAGCCTCACACTTTCATTTGATGAACACTAGGGATTGGGAGGACTTACAATGAATGCTCATACGCACAATAGTGAATATCACTTAATCACAGACATTGGGCTGAAGCCCATCAGAAGTTAGTGTCCTGTCGCTCTCATACCTATATATACACTATGTCTTAATGCACTAACACACACACCCATACAACAGACAGTAGAAATGTGAAATTTCCACTAGCTGCAAAAACACAGACATACTTCCATTCAAACACACCTCAAGGATGGTAAGAACACGAACTAACAAAAAAGAAATAAAAACAATTACAGGTCAATAGTATTTACATTCTGACAATTATTATGATTAAGTTGTTGCCCAGCCCTGAACATACATGTGACAGCTATAGCACACACACTCATAAACAGTGCAATGCCGGCTATTTGAAAATTCTCTCTTTGCCAGTTAATGCCAGAGCACCTCTGAAATTTTTAATGTTAAGACAATAAAATAACAGCACTACTAAAACTAAATTTTATAAGAAGATAAATCATAACAATTGAATGTCAAGAACATAAACAATGAGCTTCACTAAAATTTTATTTATTTGAATTGATAGATTAACCATGTAACATTTAAAAAAATTGTTGAGAGCAACAGTTCTGACATGACACTATGAGATCTGAGTTGAGAGAGAAGCCAACATAATTTGAAAGGCAAGAAACTACACTAATAAAATTTATAATAACAACAAGTGGTTCTTTGTCCTAACCAATGAGGGTAACCTATGGTCTGACAGCGACCGTACAAAAAAAGAAAAGAAAAAAAAAGTTAAACAATGCAGGTTAACCAATGTCAAGTTACCAAAGCTACCAAAAAAATGAAGGCATTCACAAAACACAATATTTAAGTACCATGTCCTCATATAGTGACATCAAACATGAAATGGGCAACCTCTTAAAATGCGAAGGACCTTAATCATTAGAACTGTTCAGTTTAAGAAACTTTAAATGTATGCAATATATGCTATGAATTGATGCATTTTAAAGAAACTACCATTACACAAACTAGTATAAATTGCATACTGGTAATGCTCCTGAACTTAAAGAGTAAAGCAAAAAAGCAGCAGAATCCATGATAGTAAATGTGCTGGCACTGTATGTTTCACTGAACACCAAGGGCATCAACTAATACAATATGGGGCTTCGCATTTCAATAAATAGACCGTCTAAAACGACTGAAATTCATACATCTATAAAAGTCATAAAATAATGAGTTCCAAATAATTCATGAAATTAAATTAACAAAATGAACCAACCTCCGTCATACCAGGCAATATTCTTTGTTGAGCACCATCACAGCAGATTATAAAAAAATTGTACATTAGAGGGGAACAAAACGCATCTTGGAGAGAAACACAAATCACAATGGACAAAGTCAAAATGGTGATGTTCCACACATTACAGGGAGTAGGTAGCATTTGCAGTCAGGACTTTAAAATGCCACTTTTGGCCGTCAAAAGGTAGTCCATAAAAGTCTCAGCCAAATGAAGCTGTAAGGGAAACAAGAATTGATATTATTTATAGTCCAATACAATGTTTCTACTTAAATTATGAACAATAGAACTTACGGGATGGCGTTCTGTTGTCTGGTGGGCATTGGCTGGAAGGAGCAGGTTCTGCAGCACTGGCACTGGCACTTGCATTGCCACTTGCATTGCCACTAGCATTGCCGCTGGCATTACCACTGCCACCTTCTAGAGGATCACAATTTAAGAAATCCCAAATCAGTATTGTGTCATCATGTGAACTGCTTACTATCTGGAATTCATCGAACTGAAGACGGAAGACCCGTCCCGTGTGCTCCTGCAGACAAGAGGGAGTCACAATGTCAGCAAATGAGTCAATACAGTCAAATAATGCTACAAAAAATGGCACCTTACCACAAGAGTCCTGAGACAGAGAGTGCCAGATGGAGCCCTGGGATCCAATGCCGCAACAAGATCCCACACTTTAATTTTGCTGCAAAATTAATAGAAGAGTTATTATTTTCCTGCTGCCACAAATACAAATAAATCAGAAGCAAGAGATAACAGAGAAGACTTAAAAGGCTCAAAATATACTTACCCATCATAGGCTCCACTAACTATTCGCTTGCTATCAAAACGTATGCATCTCACTAATTCCTCATGACCTTCTAGTATTCTGAGACATGCTCCGCATTCAATATCCCATAATCTGAAATATTAAATTCAATTGATAAAAATGAAGTAAGCTTCAAACCAGTTTACTGCAACCAGTCAATGCATGGCCACATATTCATTACCTGATAGTGTTGTCTGAACTGCCACTAACAACAAGCCGATCCCGATACTGAAGGCAAGCAATTCCTCGCTTATGTCCATTTAGTGTCCGAACAAATTCACAGGATGAGGTGTTCCACACTTTGATGGTTCTGTCTCCACTAGCAGACACTATGTACTTTTCATCAAAATCAACAACATTTACAGCTGCTCTGTGCCCAACTAGAACTCTTCTTAAAGCTATTTCCGTTGGGGATGTCATGTCCCAGACAGCAATAGAGCGGTCCTTAAGAGAGGAAATAAAATTAATTATTATGCTATGTCTCATTATTACCTAGAAGTATGTGTGTTCATGGTGCTTACTTTAGAGCATGTCACCATCATTCCATTACAGAATCGCAGGTGAAGAACAGCCTCACAATGGTGAATTAGTGTGTTCACCATTTCACCAGTGGCTACATCCCACACACGAACAGTCGAGTCACTTGAACCACTGATGATGACTTTGTCGTCATATTGTAGACAGAGAACGGACCCCGTATGACCAGTCAAAACCTGAGAAGGCCCAGACAAAGATTCATTATAATCAAATGTGTTACGGTGTTCCAGATAACATTTAAAGTGTTGACAAACCTTTATACACTGCAAAGTTACACGATCCCAAATCTTGATAGTATTGTCTCTCAGGCCAGAAACAATTTTATGATCATCATACTGGAGGCAATACACTCCTTTAGAATTCTCAGAACGACAATTGATTCTCTGCAGAATGTGTCGACCTGTTCGCCAGTTCTTTTCTAGCCTCTAAAAATAATATGAAGAGAAATTTGTCAATATAATGTTGGCAAGTCAAGGTTAAATTAAAATCCACAGTATATAAAAACTCACATCAATATCAAGAATTATTTTTGGGTACAGTCCTCTGTAAAAGTCATTGCTTGGATGATTCTCTCCCGGCTTGGGTTTAAACAAATATTGAATCCTAAAGACAAAATCAAAATGTTACAAAGTTATTTGAACATAATAAATAATAATGATAATTTCAATAATAATAAATCCACTATTACCATCCTCTTCTTTCTGACAGCCCTCGCCACAATGAATCTGTTTTGACCTTTCTTTCAATTAGTTTCTTCCAGAGCATCCCTTCAGAAATGACGCGGTACCATTCTTTGCACACCATTTGTGCAGCGTCGAGTGATTCGGCATCTAGCATTGATAGAATTCCCTCTGCTACATGATCCAAACCTTTCTCTGCAAATAAAGACAAAGTTTTGAAATTCAAATTCATTTTTCAAAAGCACCATTACTGTTATTAATCAAAACAAGTAACTAACTTGGTAGCATAGAAATGAAGTCTCTTTGTAACATCGGTTTTAAGTATGTGTTGATGTGGCCATGCTGATGGTGGCACATACGAGACAGTAAGTGCTCGACAAACTCGATCTGGTCCTGTTCGGTCCATTTTTCAAATAGTTTCAAACATGTGTCACGTTCAGTGGAGAATTGCGGTGCCTGTTCTCTCTTCTTCTCTCCTAGTACAGTCATCTGTTGACACTGAAAGCAAACAGAGGCACTGGATGAGTACAGGTGCTTTAAAATCAAAACACAGTAACTTGCAGATAGTACCAACAATCAATTTCTTTTCTTCTACTTAATAATAATTTGACACACACAGGAGCATATCCATTCTGGTAAAAATTACCAAACCCTACATAGCAAAACCTAACAACAACTGCGAAAAAAACAAAACAAGAAGGCCCTAAGTGAAGCCTACATGAAGAAAAGAATTCACAGAGAAGATGAAATAAGAGACAAAGGTAGATACGCTGCAGATCCAAGAAATACACAAGAGGAGTCCAGTTCGCCTCGGATACTCGGATGCGCGGCGCAGCTCGGGTCGCTTTCCCGGTGGCGTAGTTGGCGAAGTGCAGAGCGGAGTCGACTGCAGTGGTGGAGGCAGAGGCAGTGGAACAAAACGGAACGGGAGAGCGGGGCTGAGCGGGGCTGAGCGCGGAGCGGCGCGGCGCTGGGGCCGTTTACCTGGCAGACTGGCAGGCTCGGCTCGGCTCGGCTATCCCAGTGCAGCCGAAGCAACGCGGCGAACGTTTTTTGCGCTGCCACGTTCGGGGGAGGGGCAGGGAGGAGGCACAGAGCTACTCCTTGCTCAGTCCCTTAGGCCCCCGCTCTCGGCCGGACACCTGGACAAGCAACAAACCACCACCGACCGCTCGGCCTCGGCCCTAGGAACGGGCTTCTGCCCTGAGCCTCTGCACAGAGAGGGAGAGAGACCGGCTGAGTCAAGTCTAACTCAATCCCACAACTTGGACGCCAGCTTGAGACTTTTCCCTTTGATGCGTCGGACAAAACGGGCGGGGGCTGCGCCAGGCCTTGGTCAGGCCGTCGTGCAGCGCGTCGCCTCGCCGCGTGCGGACGGCACGACTCGGACGAGTACCTGTTAGTACCCGGCCCGGCCTGCCCGGCCTCCCCGGCCCCAGCCCGACGGGCCAGACGGGTAGGCACTGACACTGCAGCAGGTACCCTGTACCGCTACTCGCCTCAGGAAAGTGAAACCCCTTGAGCCCATCTCGAAAAACAAAGCGCGAAGCGCGTGGGCAGATGCAAGGACAGGCGAGACGACAGTCCCTGGACAGTCCCGGGTTCGAGTACCGGTCGGCCCCCACTAATGCGGTTTTGTTGCCGACCGGCTCGGACTGGCTCGGACAAGCCTGGGGACCGCCCGGCACAGCCTGGGCGATTCAGTTTCTGGATACACGCCTACTTCCCACACAGACACACACAAGCCCATCTTCCCACATACGCATTCTCTCTCGCTCGCTCTCACGCCCTCCTTCGCCGCCGTCTGGATGCAGCGCGCAGCGCGTTCTCGTGACAAAACCAGGGAAGCCAAGCGAAGCGGCTACAGCGCAGCGCCAAGCAAGCCCCGACAACCAAAGCAGGCAAACCGGAAAAAAAATGGAGCGCTCTCGCAGTCCAGTCATGACTAAGTCAGTTCTTTGTTTCGCCTTCCCCGGCCCGGCCAGCAGGGCCGAAAGCATCATAATCCGAGGGCTGGCCAGAAGAGCAGTGGAATGCCAGAAACGCGCCTCCCGGCTTCCGGCTGCTTCCGGCCTGCGTGCGAAGATCCCGGTGCACTTCCGGCGGGTTCGATGAGGCTGAAAAGAAAGGACGACGGCCAGGGGGAGGAGGGGAGGGGGCTAGACGGCTCGGACCCGAAATTCCACTCTCCGTTTCGAGGGACTTTCCCTGCGCGGACGCGGTCCGTTTGCGCACCTATCGGGGAAGACATTTCGCGCGTGAAAGGCGCGAGCAACAGCTGTGGAAAGAATAAAGGGAGTGCAGTGTGACAGACGGCTGGTGTGGCCAGTGTGGCGGCCCGGCCGCCGAGGCTGAGGGAATGACACCATGACTCACGGAGCCAACGACCGATGTGATTGCGCTGCGAATGCAGAAGCCAAGCAACGTGCAGGAAAAGAGTCGCCGCGTGAATCAGTCGGACCAAGACGCGGCATGGCGAGGGGAATATACTAAGAGACGACACCAGGACCAGGATGGCGTTTGAGGGAAATTCTCTGACAGAAGACACTCCTCCACCAGTAGAGACCTACAGCAGCGTCGCGTGCGTTTAGTGCAAATATCGACTCAGATTGTCAATCTCATATGGAACAGCACATCGTCGCAGGGAGAGTCAATCACCCCAGTCCCAGCAACAAAACAGAGCACGTAAAAAAATTGAAAAAAAAAAAAAAAATACACCTTGCAATGGAAGTTATTCTACAGAAGAAGAGCCCATGGAAATAAATGACAATAAATTCAGTTTAGGGAAGAGGTTGTGCTAGTAGTCTTAGGATTGCAGCATTCATTATTTAGACAGCTCAGCATATCCATGAGACTTGCTAGTCATATATTTACATTGTAAATAAATAAATACATACATTCACTCGATCATTCTTTCATCCATTCATTCATTGCAGAAAATTTTGGATAACACTTTCACAATAATGCAATTTTAACATGGCTTCAACAAGGAACTTTTTAGACTTGCATTCATAGCAAAGTGTGCTCTAGATGTTTCAAACACAAAAGCATTATTCCAGGACTACTGTCTGTAACTTTAAGACCAAGAGTCAATCAAAAAGATAAACAGCCTAGTAATACTTAGATGAAATGTGTTCTCTCAATTCTTAAAATAAAGAAACATGATCCCTAATTTGTGTCACAAAGTAAAAACCATTCACAGAATGGACATAAAAAAGCTTTGAGCCCCATCTGTCAAAACTGGAGAATGACGATGGATGTTTTCACCATGCAAGCACATATGTATGATATACAAGAAGTTAAATTTTCATTAGCCTCACTAGGAAGTAAAGAGTGAACAAATACGTTTAAAATTTAAAAATCTGATGTAAATGTTGTGTGGGAGTCGAGTTAGTGACACTTCATTCCTATGAAAACAATGGCCAGCAGTAAAGTGGCCTTCCTCCTATGATTCGAAAAACGAACAGGCACCAGTTTCAATCCATAATGAGTTGAAGGAAATACAAGTGATCGAAAACCGCAGAAAGAACATCGTCAAACAGGGGAGAAGCAAGGAAATTTGATTGGAAAGTAGAAAACAGACGATATCTAGAGCACAGGGGTATGGTGGATTGGAGGTCATGGAACGAGCATAGTGACAAGCTACGACTTTCTGGAAGCGGTGGTTCTGATAAAACTGCTGGGAACTACCAGGACTTGAGACACAACCGATGCAAATACCCAGTGAAGAATGGAGGAGAAACAAATACTCGAAAACCCAAATAGTGCCTAACCTAATTCAAGATGGCGGACTGGTTGCAGCATCGTCACTGTGGCTCGCGTTTTCTCCACTTTATCCTCCTCAAATCACGGAACCTTACCTCTGGTATAGATCTTCCATCTTCTGTGACTTTGTCTGTTTCCATATCCATGGTTTTCCAATCGAGAAGTCCGTGCAGAATTCGCTTAAAACGGAAACAACACTGCACTCCCCGTTACTGTGTGTGAGTTTAATGATGAAGTGAGGTGGGGTAGGAAGGAGAGGTGGGGTCGGGGGAGAGGTGACGTCACGGCAAAACAGGGTTGCCAGGTAAACTGATCCTTCCCCAGCAGGTTCCAAACACTTTTCTTTGTGTTACGACGCCTATTTAAAGAACTCTCAGGATCGAGAACCAACTTTTATTGTATTTATGTTCATACGACGAGGTCAACTGTGACTTTTGAAAAAACGCAAGATAATGTGATCTACAGTAAGGTAGTTGGATCTGTCAAAGAAAGCAGACGACACACTGACGAAATTCCCCCTCCACACCCTCATTTAATTGAATTTGGTGAAAATTAGTCAAAATTTGGGAGGGTTGTTCATTTTTCAGCTTCTTTTGTCATAAATATGGTACTGTTGCCACCATTCAACACATCCTTTTCATTTGGAAAACTTACGTAAATCATTAGTTGCTTTCAAATTTAGTTCATTGTCATTGTTGTGAAGAAAACAAGGAGGTTGTTAACAATTCAATTCTTTTTTACTTTCTAGGGTTTCAACAAAAACAGTAGGTTACAGCGAACAAGGAAACTTCTCATAAAACTGTTACCAATAGTCACTTGAAATCAGGACTGTAAATCCAGCCAGTAAATACGAAACAAAACCAACAAAAACTGCCTTATCGCTATTTAGAATTTGTCCATGTACGTAGCTGGCCAGGGAAATTGAGGACGGTGGAAAACATAGACATTTGTTTACTGTACTCATTAGCAGATTAATTGGAACAACGAATGATCACGAGAGCAAAAAAATCTGATAAATGAGACTGGCAAAAGCCATTTATAAGTAAACAATAAACCCGTAATAAATAAATAAAACAAAGAGATAAGAATGGGGTTGACAAGGGAGTAGAACACATTAATTTTTTCAGACAAACTGACGCATCAGAAAAAGTGGTCATATTAGACATGAGAAACATAACAAAAAGATAAAGGATAAAAGTGCTAATAACAACTTTTATTTCATTGAAACATAGTTAAGTGAGTTACTTGAAAGTCAAAACCTTCAATGCATTCTATCAATACTGTGCTGGGAGGTTTTAATACTAATTGTGATTGTTGCTTTAAACAGTATGACATCTGCTTATGAGTCAACCCATTAATAGTACAAATTTACAAACAGTGCTAAAAATTAGGGCAGTTTAATATTTAAGGACGGTGATGATGCATGATTTGACTTTTTACAGGTACAATTGAACTACCTAAAACAATTCAACAACATAACAGTCACCATGAGAAATACTAATCATTCCAAATAGGTACTTACTTTAAATACGTACAAATGACTAGTTTGAAGTAGTGCCACTAACAATTAAAAACGAGAGGTCTACTTTTGCAACCCTTATCACACCATTGCTGTTGAAACTTATAAAGATAAAAATTTTAAAGTTACCAGCCAAGCCATGGTGGCTGTTTGTGTTTCACAACTGGCACATAAGTTAAATTTATAGGAATATTTATAATAGCTCTTCTTCTTCGAAGTTTGGCCAGTGTTCTGCGAATCATATGCCTGGAGTTTAAAAAGAAAAGTTGGTAAGATTATTTGGCTAAAAAAAAAAGTGAACATGGATGAAAGACTTCTGGCATTACGTACCCATTCTTCCCTAGAATGAATCCAGCAGGTATGTGGACTTCTCTCAGTGTGTTGTCATCGACCATATCAATGAAATGCTCATCACCTTTAATATCATTATCAGCGACTATAACAGCAAGAGCTCCAACTTCTTCCATTTTCAATGCTTTTGTTACAAATGAACATTCCCTGAAAAAGAAAATATCCAATGACGAATAAAGCTAAAATGGAACGAAATGAGAAAACATGAATTACTGACATTCTCACATACCCTCTTTCAACTAGGGCGATGTTTCCCTCCACAAATTCAGCATTTCGTGGCCAACTGCAGCCACTGGGGGGATCCACAGGAATCAGCCCAACACCCATTGCTCGAAAGCTCTCGTTCTGAGAATAAGAGTGTGGGTTAGAAGACTGAACAATCATTGAATGTAAAATTGTAATAAGGTAGGTAGACAATAATAATAAACACATACAAATGGAGCACCAAAATCTTTAGCTGGCCTTAATCTATAAGTATAACCAAGTTCTCCAGGCTCAATTATTTCAAAAAATACATCAGACCCCAGCACTTCAGGTATACTTGTTCCCTCCATTAAATGCAAATTGTTAGCTAAAATGAAGACACAAAAATTAGCTTATAACTAAGAGAGTGAGAATGTATGATGCATTGCAGGCAAAATGACAGCTAACGCAATTAAAGAAGAGATCAAAATTAAAGAAGAGATCAAAAATAAAATTTAATACTAACCTACAGAATGAACAAGAATAAAGATTTGGGAAAATAAAAGCACCCAAGCAATCCATTGGAGGTTGTTGGCAAATTTCAAGCGCCATGGAGAGAATGCCATTTTAAAAGAAGACAACGGTTGTCAATACTATATGGTCAATCTGAAAATGGTTGGCAAATAATGTTGATTAGAACTAAACAACTGCGGCTAACCAATAGAGAATAGCATTGGTTTCTAACTTATTCTTCCAACATGCCGAAACTGCCAGAACTCAGGTCCTTTGCTGGCTGGCTGGGCTGACAGCTCCGAGGGGGGAGGGGGAGAAAACGTGTGTTTTTGCGGTACTGCCAACACGCCAACCACTGAAACGCCACTAACGAATGGTACCAGCTCATTCCAGACCAAGAAGCGCTCTCTCGCGTTCTAATTACTCAATAAAATATTAATGCCGTGTATAAATAACAGACCTCTTAAGTAAATGTCATGCTAGATTGTTTTCTTGGAATCGACATCAGAGTGCCTTCCTGATCAGCAGGACTTCCTGGTATGAGAAACTTCTCGGAAGCTAACTCGCACGGCACCCGGGAGACAATCCTGCTCGAAACTGGTTTGAGGACAATTTTACAGGATAGAGCCCCCTAACCAGTTACTAGCTAAAGTCTAAGACTTCTTAAGGCTTCGCGATGTTGGTTTAATAAGGCTCCGCCTTTATGCAGCTTTATTCAAGCCTTTATTCAAGTTGTGTGGATGCTGTGTTGTACTACGTTTACACGGGAGAGCTAGCCTCGGTCAACTCGAGGGGTGGGGGAGTGGAGGGGAGACACCACTCAGCCAGGGCTAGCAGACGTCATGTTCACGCGGTGCCGGCGAAGCGCTGTTGGGGTGACTTTCTAACCTCAAGATAGCCTAAACAATTTCGAATTTAAGTCGAAATCAGGCCGAAATTTGCTTTACGCAATAGACAAAGGATATTTTTATTCAGAAACAATCAGTTACAAGTGGTAAAAAACAAATCAATAAAAATTACATAAAATAGAATAAGTAAATTAATGATTTCATACAACAGAAAACTGCTTCCCAAGTTTTTTCCAACGATTTCACAGGTGTATTCATAATAATAGAAAATAGATGGGCTTACAACACCTCAAAAACACTGCGCACACCTAACCTCACTTGACCGTGTGGTGTTTACACGTTGGAGTTAGCCTCGGTCAACGAGTTAGCCAGGGTAGCTCGAGGGGTCTAACTCGTTGACCCACCTACGTGTTCATGCGCGTGAGTTGACCCCGGCTAGCTCGAGACCTACCCCCTCCACTCCCCCACCCCTCGAGTTGACCGAGGCTAGCTCTCCCGTGTAAACGTAGTATTGGTGGGGTGGGTCTGGGTCTGGGTGGCGGGCTGTGTTTTGGGGGGCGGTTGTGGGCTGGTTTGCCACCATTCCGTTTCAGAAAATATCAGAACTTTTACTTAATTCAAACACATTTTTTACACACTCCGTCCGCAACATTATCTACCACTGATGTACAATATTATATCCTTATTAACATTTCTTTATTCTCATCCCCTCTTTCAAACGCAACTCCTCTTTTCCAACATTTTTTTTCTTTCTCTGTTGGCAGTAAAATGCCCCATCCCACAGTCACAAACTTACACTATCAAACATGTAGGAGCTCTCACCTTTCTACCAATACATATAATAAGTTTTCGAAGCATCTTTTGCCGAATATTCATTTCTACATTTCCCCGCTCCTTTCTTCTGCTATTATGCATGCTAAATTCTTCATTTCCCCATTTCCTATCCATTACGGCCAGCTTGTTAAGGTTGGCATCACACTCCCAAAATAATCAACCGCACGTCCACGGATCACCATTGCACGGTCGGCGCCCCTTAGACTTCTGGCCGAGTGGGATGAAGCTTAAGAACAATTCGACGAAACTTCGAAGTGGCACTCAGCCAACCAGTTAGGATTTACTCGCGGGTGCCGGCGAGTTGTTTCCTCGCGTCCAGAAATGGTTTCCTTTCCAAACGGCCTGGCGGCAATGGTTTTCTCACAGGAGGGAGGAGGGGTCACAATGTCACTTCGCGCTCTTATTTGTAGTGCGTTTGTGTGACGAGACCATGCCACCGCCACGGAGCACATCCCCATCGCTAGAAGCAGAACCCTGGAAATTTACTACTAAAGGCGGCGTAGCGACTTAACTTCACCAGTTGAAAGTCGTGCACGTCGCCTCTACCCACTGTGAGCGGCGCTCTTCGGTCGCCCACCGCACCGGGGAAGTCCCTTGATTCCTTAGAACTTGCTGCGCCCCGCCCTCTGCACTTCCGACCAGAGCAGAACCAGATGTGCCGATCCCTCGCACCAGCCTTGCCTGGCGCAATCGCAGGGAGCGCCGGGCGGACAGGCAACCAAGCCTGCTTCAGCAGATGCCCGTTGGGTTGCCTACCTAGCGCGGCGCTGCATCGCACGGCCTTCCCCCCACCCCCTTTCCACTTTCCACCCGGTTAGTAAAGTGCCGCTTTGACGGGCGTTCGTTTCCTGCATTGAGTGAATCGGCGAGCATCGCGGCAGTGCATATGCGGAGTGCATATGCATCCGGGCGGGACAATGGGCAGTGGGCCGGGCCATCGCGGCGCCGCGCCCCGGGCCGTGTTCGTAGGTACGCCACGGTACGCCACAGCGCACACTGCACGCGGTCCGAAACCAAGCGACCCGTGAATATTCATATTCGCCAACATCGCCGTGAGGCAGGCCCGGCAGGCCTGGCAGGCCACAGCGGCAACAGTCGCAGTAGCAAAGCCAGCAAAGCCAGCAAAGCCAGCAAAGCGCAAAGCGACCTGCATTTAATTAGTTCCCGCGGCGCATCGGCAGCACGGCAGCACAGCAGCCGGCGAAATTGGCGCCAAAACCGAACCGGGGCACGGGCCGGGGCACGGCCGGGGCAGGGCCGGCGCCGCCGGGACCGGAAGTCGCATTGATGAGGATGCATACACAACGGTGGCTCGGGGGGAGAGGGGGAGGGGGTTGAGAGTGGTCCAGGTAGATAAACGCCAAAGGGCATCCCCCTCTCCCTTCTGCCCCGAGGAACCAATGCACTGCAATGAGGAATCCAGAGTTGGATTCGTGTTCTATGAGAGGACAAGGGGAGCTGAGACACTGTGCAAGACTTGTGGCCCGTTACTGCGCCGCCACCGTGCGCACCGTGCGCACGTTGGATGACGAGGAAACACACACACGGAAGTAAAGTGGCTCAGGGCTCAGAGGGTGTCGTCCGGCGTTGCACAACACGTCCCGCGGCCGCACAGCGCCCTGATTCCGAGAGTCTTTTTTGTCGTTGTCTCTCTCACGCCTGTAAAGGAACGCCCCATGAGTGCGAGAGAGATAAAGCGACCAAAACGACTCTCGGAATCAGCCTGCAGCATGCACAGCGACGACAGCGAGGGCCTCGGATCAAGCCATGCGCCGCGTGTCCTATGGCAGTCCCAGGGGCAACGCCTCACTCGGGCCGACAGACGCGTTGTGCGACAGGTGCGTTGTGCCTTTGCGTGGGCCGGGCTGCAGAAACGGTGCGAATCGCGGAATCCGTGCCGCTGCCTCGCCGCCGCGAGTGCTGTGCTGGCGCGAATGTGGCAATGCAATGTCCGCGATAAAATTGACACGATCTAGAAATCGGCTGCGCGGTGCGTGGGAGGCGAGCCATGTGGGTTGCGGGGGCTTTGCACTTGGAAGCCGCTGCAGACAGGGCGGCACAGGGCGGCACAGGGGTGGGGGACGGGGCTCAGATGACCACTACCGTGTCGCCGTGCCGTCTCAACAATATCTGCTTGCGAGTCCATCACCTCCTTTCCGATAGCCTCGGCCGCCGCATCATTCCGAAGGCGGTTCGTCGCGCTGTCTCTCTTCTCTCTCTCATCCACACGGAGCGCTCCATGAGTACGACAGAGACAGAGACTCTTCTGGCGTGCCGAAAGTGCCGAAGTCCGCGGCCTGAGCTGTGCACGCTGACAGAGCGCGTAATCAGACTCCTCCAGTTTATTGAGGTCGCTCTTGGAGGCGGGCAGGCCGGTCCGGGCCTGCAGACTGACTCTGAGAGCCGTTTTCGTCGCTCTGTCTCTCTCGCACCTTCCCGGGACGCCGCATGAGTGTGAGAGAGACAGGGTGACGAAAACGACTGCAGGCTGCAGCCCGCACGGCGCGCGGGTGCTGCGGGCCGGCCTGCCCGTCAGGCGCCATGGCACGGCGGCCCGACGGCGCGGAGAGCTTTTTGTCGGCCACGCTTGTGCCGCCGGTGCCGCGGCAGCCCAAGCAGTGCCCGCAGTGCTGCATTGCTCATCCAATCACCATTAACGGGCCGATAAAGGAGCCGCCTCTGGCTGGCTGCAAGCATTGGCTGCAAGCATTGGATGCGAGCGCTGCGAGGCGCGCTGGAGGACACGAACACCTGACGGAGGCTGCGTCTGTCCGGGCCTGAGCCTGTCCCCGGGCCGGGCCGCCCTGTCGCCGTGTCCCCCGGCATTGCTGCGCACGGCACGGCACGGCGGCTGCGTGTGATAGCGGACTAATTAGCTGAACGAGGGCCTTCCTGCCTTCCTGCACGTCCCTGTTGTGGGAATGGCATACTGTGCACTGCAATTAACGCGGCCGCGGGGCGGCGTGGCCGAGGCGTGGCGGCAGGACGGGGTGGCGGCGGTGGCGAAGAGCGTCGAGGGGGAGAGGGAAGAATGCTGCTGGCTGGGTCCCATTCCTTCCAGTGCCTCGGTCCTGGGTCCTGGGTGGCGGGGAAAGCAAAAGCAAAGGGCTTACTGGCGGCCCCGGGGCGGAGTGGCGGAGTGGCGGACGGCTGGCCCCGCGATTAGCAAAGCACTGCGGAGCCATCCCTGCCATCCCGCAGCCCATCAATAGCGGCGAGCCCTCTGCCCCCCGCGGCCCTTCTCTTCCGCCCCGTGCTCCTCATGGTAATTTATCCGGCTGTCGACAGCCGTCTCGCCGTTTGCCTCTCCGGCCTGCCGATGCGGACCGTCCCGTCAGCCTGCTAGCCGTGGAAATCTGTGCCCAGTGTCATTCGCGCACAGTTTTACTGCGGGGCCTCGCGCGCCTCGCGCCTTGCATCTCGTGCGAGCGGCGCGTGCCCTGCGGGGGCGAAGACCAAGGCGAAGACACGGAGGCACTGCAGGTCAAGGAGACTCTCCGTGAGCCAACCTGTGCCCGGCGCGCCGCCCGCGAGCACCAGCCGCGGTCCTGTAACGCCCACCCCTCGGAGGCCAGCCTTGGCGCCTTGGCCGCCTTGGCCAGCCCCCTGGAGGCCCCGGGAGTCCAAAGCGATATCTTCCCCCTGAATTGTGCAGCGTGCAGGGCAGGCAGGGCGCCATGCCGAGTGGCCTGGCCGTGGCGAGCCGAGCGGGCGTCGCGGCGGTGGTGGGGGGCGGCGGCGGCGGTATCATCATGATGTGTTTTACAGCTCCCGCGCGCCCCGCCGCGCCCCGCCACGCCCCGCCCAACTGGCGCGCGCGCTCCCGCCCCGGGAGGCGTGGAGGGGGTTGTGATGCGGCACGGCGGCGCGGCCCGGGCCGGCAGGGGCTTGCCACTCTAAACCGTTCATCTAGCACAATCAGTAACCGCTTGACTTCCGAGGAGAGCGGAGTGGCGCGTCGCGGCCGGCGCAGCGCAGCGCAGAGCAGCCACGCCGCGGCAGGTTACGACGCGAAGCGCGAAGCGCGAAGCGCGAAGCAGTGCGGCGGCATTGTTGCCATGACGTGCGCGGACGTCCGGTGACGCGACGTGCCCTGTGTTCGCGCCATGCAGCAGCCCCGAGACCCAGGGCCCCTACTGACGACGCCGTCGTCCGCCACATCCCCGACCTCCAAAGTGCCCCTCAACAACAACACCAGCACCGTCAACAACAACAACAGCATCGACGCCGCGCCGCCCCCCACGTGGCACCCGCACGTGTACGGCAAGCGTCCCAGGTCCCCGACGCCGCACCGCATCGTCGACATCCTCGGCTGGATGGAGGAGAAGGCCGTCCTGAAGGCGCCACCGCCGCGCGCCGGCAGCCTGCTCGTGGTGCCGCGCGTGTCGCTCAACGTCCATGACGCCGTCCATGACGCCGTCCAGGACGACGACGAGCCGCTGAACCTGTCGACGACGGCACGGAGCCGCGATGCCTCCCCGTCGATGACACCGCCCCTGGGGCTCGGCGTGGGCCTCGGCCTGCTGCCTCCGACGGGCCCCTTCCGAGAGCCTCTCAACGGACTGGCCACGCCGCTCGTCCTTAACGGCGTCCTCAACGGCCGCCTGGCCGACGTCAAGGGGGGCGTCCCCACGGTGCCCCCCGTCCGCGTGCCCTCCGTGCCCCTGCGAGGTAAGCACCGCCAACGCCCCACCCGAGGCCCCACCGCGTCCACCTGTTGAGGCCCAGCATGCACTGGAGCTGCGGCCTCGGGGGCCGCCTGGGGGCTGGACGGCGGCGTCCCGGCCCAACCTCGTCGCTGCTCCGCCTTCGCGACCGCGACCCGTCGGCAAGCCGTCGGCTCGGCGCCACGCCACACCGGGCTGCCGCGCCGCCACCGCCATTTCGCTGTGTACGCATTGTTGCGCCTCTCGTTCGGTGTGGTGGTGCGTGGCTCGGTGTCTCGGCCGCCACCCGCCTCGACCCTACTCCCCCACATTGTTGCGCTGATGGGCAGGGCAGTGGAGTCCAGACCAAAAGCTAGCTGATTAAGCTTCGAACACTGCCCCGTGCACTTTGTCTTTCCTGAGGCCAGCCTGCCTCACCGTTCGCCGTTCAATGGATCACCAGCAAAAGCCGGGCCGGGCCGGGGCTGGGCGGCGCGGCACGGATGCTCGCCAATGATCGCGGCCTTTCATTTTGATGAATGGGCGGAGGCGGAAATTCCAAAACGCGCAGTAACCCAAACGGTGGGCCGTCCAGCCAGCCGACTCGACGCGATCCGAATTACCGAACCGGCGAAAAGCCGAAGTGGTGCCGAGCCGAGGCCGAAGGGCAGAGCGGCGGAGCACGGGGCTCCATGCTCCATTATTTCATTACTTTATTTGCGAAGCCCGGTCTGCCTGCTGCCTGGCTGCCTGGCCCTGCGCGTCGCATGTATTATAAAAACATGCAGGCCCCCTGACTTCCTGCGAACACGATAAAGCAGTTTGGAGCGCAGCCCTTCCCCTCCCCTCCCCTCCCCCGCTGTTTGTGTGCGCATTACTGCTCATCACCGCTCATCAGGCCGCCTCCCCTCCCGCGCCGCGCACCGATTGAAACACACCTCGTTTGGACGCGAGCGGTCTGCTCGCAATTAAAGCGCGGCGGGGAGGAGGGGAAAGGAGGGGGAGGACGAGGGGAGGAGCGGCGGCAATCCGGAGAGAGGCATTTGCCATTTTTAACGGGGTGCTAATCGGCCCGCTGCTGCCTGCTCGCTCCCATCCTCTCTCTCTCTCTCTCTCTCTCTCTCTCTCTTCTCTCTCTCTCTCTCTCTCTCTTCTCTGTCTCTCTCTCTGCCTCTGGCGCTCCCTCGCTCTGTCTCTCTCTGTTTCTCTCTCTCTCCACTGTGACGACCGCGCTAAGGCAATCGCCACGCCATATTTTATGCGTGCTTCTCTCCTGATTCTTCTTCGTATTCCGTCCCCTCGTCAGATGGCCAGGTGTCAATCAAGGCAGATCCCCGCTCGGCTCGGTTCGGTTGTATCTGGAGGCCCTCGGCCGGTCGCGGACGGCGCGAGCCTAAGTGGGATTAGCCACTGCGACCTACATGTAACGCGCGGCTGAGTGCTCACGCTCGCCGCGTCCGCATGTCTGTCTGTCTGTCTGTCTGTCCTTCCGTCTGCCTCTCGATACTCATCGCTTCGGTGTCCCTTCTGATTTTCAATGAACGCTGTGGGCGATCCAGTGGCGACGGCAGCTTAATTGCGGTAGCATGATCTCGCTGTGTGTGTGTGTGTGTGTGTTCCCATGCGTTTTAATCGCCGCCAGCTTAACCAAACAGCGGCCAATCAGTTTCAACTCACGCGCGCCGTACCTGCGCCCCGCCGCGCCCGTCCCGGAACCCGATCGATTTATTGCCCTTTTTCGTGCACTCAGCGTATTAGTATTTCGTCGGCAGGTTCATTGGCCCTGCGCATTGCGAGCCGCCATCGCAGAATGCGTGCTGACTATGCAAAAGCTGACCCAATGCTCCAGCGGGAGAAGCGGGTTCAAATACTACTCGTACGCGGCGAGCGGGTCTTTTTTTCGAGGCCGGAGCAGGCAGGGACGATCATGTGTGGTCTAGCCCTTAATGGTAATGGCTAAGGTAGGCAGTCCCGCGACGCACCCGTGCTCGACGGGCGGGCCCGCTGCCAGGGGCTAAGGTAGGCAGTCCCGCGACGCACCCGTGCTCGACGGGCGGGCCCGCTGCAAGGTGTGTAGGGGTGGACGGCCAAAAGGCGTCCCCGCTACAACCCGATTCGGGGCGTATGAACCCGGTCTACCGAGAAAACCACCCTCTCAGTAGGGACGCCCCGTCACGTGCTGGTGAATCACCGACATGACCGGGCGGGCCCGAAAGGCAGACGATCACTTGTGGTCCAGCCGTTAATCGCAATCGCAATCGCACTGCCAGGGGCTAAGGTAGGCAGTCCCGCGACGCACCCGTGCTCGACGGGCGGGCCCGCTGCCAGGGGCTAAGGTAGGCAGTCCCGCGACGCACCCGTGCTCGACGGGCGTGTGTGCCTGCCAGGCGCCGGCCGAAGCAGGCCGGCCAAGCCACAAAAAGTGCTCTCCGGTTTGATTTCTCCGCGCGATGCGCGATTGGCATGCCTGTCCGGCGCGTCGATGCGGCATTCCGCAATTGGCAGCCCTGCGTACGTGTGGATATGCCGACGAAAATAAAACGGCGTGTCTGCCGCTTTGTTTTTTCAACCAGTCTTTTGCCAGTGACGCTCACATTTGCGGCACACGGCTTGTAATTGCAGCAAGAGCGATACTCTTCCAGCGGTGCGGCCCGCGCGGCCTGCGCGCTGCGTCCGCCATGGCGGTGCACCGCGCGTGCACACCAAGACCCACCTGTTGGCGCCGACCGGGACGTCGGCCGTGCTGGGGGAAAAAACACTGAATCGTGATCGAAATTTGTGGGTGGACGGAAATTGGGCCCACTTGTTCAATCTGAGGTGGATAGGGCGATTCCGGGAACTGATAGACCTTTTCAGGTCCATGGTTCAATAATACATACCTTCCGGCGAACCTCGAAAACAATTAGCACCCAAGTGGCGACAGCGATTGCTTAGAGTGTTTGCTTTGCTCAGCTCGCGCTGGTTGTTCGTTGTGTTCTTTCAAGCAGCCGCGAGTGGTCTGCAGTGCCTCTGCACTTGACTTGATAGGACCAGCACAAGTAGCGCACCTTGCCCTTCTTTTGGGCGGAACGTGGAACAACGTGGCATTTGCATTTGCACACCGCCCGTGCCGCGACAGTCCCAAATGATTAAAAAAGCGAAAGAGAGAGAGAGAGAGATAACCCGTCCTCGTGTGACATTCGCTTTTTAATTGATAATGTCTGGCGAGGCGCCGTTTAGAAGCGCTCCGCTGATCTGCTTTAAGACCGCGATACATCACCGACCCGTAATCCGGTAGCAAGCGTTTCCCATTGTGACAGTTTTCTTCGCCACCGAGTGCTCCCTGATGGATGGGCCCAGATAGGCGACGTGATAATCTCGCTGCTTAATCGGCTGCTGTCCATCACGCACGTCTTTTAAATGCTTCCCGCGAGTTCCCGTACGTCACGGAGGAACAGAGATAAAATGTCGAATCGCGTCGATACAAACTCTCAGCTTTCGTCGCACCTGCTAATTAAAATCGTGTACGTTTCAGCCGATAAGGCCAAACACTTCCGTCGCTCTAAGCGGGATTTTCCAATTCCCCCAAATGTTGCTGAGCTAGTGTTGCTGAAAATGGCACTAAGCAAGGGAGGCTGTGGCTGCTCGCCGCCATGGCCTTTTCGGCGTGCCGTTGGCTCTACGAGCGGAAACAGAGACAGGGAAACAATGACAGAGAAACAGAGACTGCACGCGGCAAATTTGGCGTAGCGAGCAATAAGAACGAACCGCGCGACACATTTCGCGGCTAATCCGCGGCGCCATACGCCCCGCGCCGCACCGCGCCCTAATCCAGCAGTGATAGCCGCCTGATCTTCGCCGTGATATATGCCCGCGTAATCTGCGCACCGCTTTATTTGTCGTCCTTTTTTTTATATTTTATTTTCTGCCTCCGTTTCGCTCTTTTTTACGACCCTTCGCACGCCGCGTCAGCCACTAGTTGATTGTAACGGAGCGGCCCGGGGGGAATTTGATCAACAACCTTATGCTGGCTCAAGTTTCGAGTGTTATTTTCGATGTTTTTTTCTTCTTCTTCTGGCGATTATGATTTCTGTGGGACCGCCATAAAACCGTCGAGCCTTGATGTCTCGTCGCACTTTTCCCTCTCGAAGCGGCCGGCCTGCTGGGACACGGGCCCACTCGAGGTGACGCGACGAGGTGTCCGCCGGGTTTGAAACGATTACGGTGCGGCACGGTGGGCCTTGCCTGCGGAGATCCTTGGGGATCAGGTGCTTGCCACCGTTGGGGCGGCCCGGCCCCGCCAGAGGCCCCGCCAGGGGCACGGCCCGCCACGGCCCGCCAGCTTGACAGCAGTTTTTAATCCAATCGATCACGTTATCCCCGACGTGACAGACCACTGCGTCCAGCGGGCTGATTCCGAAGCAACGCTCTGTCTCTCTCGCACGCACAGGGAACGCGGCGGGAGTGCGAGAGAGACAGAGCGACGAGGCCGCCAGGCGGCGCATTCACGAACCCCGTGGCCGATTTTGGGGGACGCCAATGGCTTGCCTCGTCGAAGAAGCGGACGGGCTGACCAGGATGACGGGACGCATTGAGGAGCGCAGGCAGCGCGGGCATTGGCATTTCCGGGGGACCCCCGACCCGACCCCGGACACATCCCCGGACCGCCCGGATGCGGTAACGAACCACGGTCCGAACGCCGCTCTGCCCAGAAACCGCCGCCGTGACTGCCGTGACTCCGGACGAGGGGTGGCTTTGCTTTCACTGGGATGACGACGGTGGCGATTCCGATCACGGTGTTTTGTCGCTCTGTCTCTCTCGCACCCTTGCCCCTCTTCATCAGAGCTAGGGAGACAGCGACCGAGGCTGAGTGGGCACGGCACAGTGGGCCAGAAGATCGCTGGAGGCGGCCAGAATCCTAGACGCGTTTTCTCCAGACAGAGCTCGAGCTGAATGTGTTGCAATGGATTGCTCTCCGAACGAGGAATCCATTGGTACGCGTTCGGTTCGAGTCCTGTTTAGCGACTCTGGAGCTCAAAACGCGTC